ATCCAATGAAATATTGAATTTTATTTTTGAAAAAAAAAAGAAAAAAAGAAAAACAAAAAGAGCTTTGTTGATGACTTGATAATTTATTGTTAAATTGAGTAATTTACTATATAATGGATTAATAATTAGTCAGGGGCGGAACATATATGTCTTACTTTTTAATATGAATTTATTGATAAGGAACATGTATGTCTTGTATTCTTATAGTTGTTTGTTTTAATACTTGTATGAAGCAAACTTCAATGGATTCTTGACTGTGAAAATACGTTAGAGTTTGGAAGTGTAAATGTGTTAAAAGGTTGTAAATTATTGGGTTTAATTGAATAACTGATGCATGATAATTATATATTTAGAGCATGGATGATACACTAAGCAATTATGGGTTTAATTGTTTTTAGCCTTCCCTATTTTGCAATCCTTACTCCACCGCTGATTGCAGCACTTTCAGTGATGGCCAGTGGAAGCTCACTAGGGGTGCTATGGTTGTGGCTCGAGGCATGAAACACTCTGCACTGTACGTTCTGCAAACAAAGATTTCCAACGACATTGTTAATGCGATGGAGGATAATAATACAACAGAGTTGTGGCACAAGAGACTGGCTCACATAAGTGAGAAAGGATTAACTCTACTAGGGAAGAAAATTCTACTATGTGGACTGAAAAGTACACTTCTGAAAAGGTGTACTTATTGTTTGTCAGGGAAGCAGAGCAGAGTCTCCTTCAAGAATTCCCCTCATTCGAAAAAGTCGGAGATACTGGATTTGGTACATTCAAATGTGTGTGGCCCTATGAAGACGAGAACACTTGGTAGCTCCAGATACTTTGTGACCTTCATAGATGATCATTCAAGGAAGTTGTAGGTATATACTTTGAATTCAAAAGACCAAGTGTTAGTAGTGTTTAAGCAATTTCAAGCCCTAGTTGAGAGACAGACTAGGAAAAAACTAAGATGCATTCGTATTGATAACGGCGGAGAATATTCTGGTCCTTTTGATGAGTATTGTAGACAGCAGGGTATCCGGCAACAAAAAACAACTCCTAAAACTCCTCAGTTGAATGGCGTAACAGAAAGGATAAACAGGACACTGGTTGAGAGAGTGAGATTTTTGTTTTCAGAAGCCCAGTCACGAAAATCTTTTTAAGGGGAGGCATTGAGCATAGTTGTTCATGTGTTGAATCTTACACCCTGTGTTCCTCTACAGTTTGATGTGCTAGACCGAGTTTGGACAGGTAAGGATGTCTCCTATAATCATTTGCGTGTTTTTTGGTACAAAGCATTTATGCATATTCCAAAAGATAAAAGGTCCAAACTTGATGTGAAAACGCAACAGTGTATTTCCTTGGCTATGGCCAAGATGAGTTTGGGTACAAGCTTTATAATCCAGTTGAGAAGAAAATTGTAAGAAGTAGAGATGTTGTGTTTGTAGAAGATCAGACGATTCAGGATATTGAGAAAACAGGAAAATCTATGTCTCAGCAAGGTGATATCTTGACAGATGGAGATCCAAATCCTCTGAAGAATCTGCCATCTCAGGTTAAGAATGATGTTCAGGATGACTACCAGTGTACAGGTGATGTGGATGTTCCCCTACAGGTTTAGGGAGATGTTGAGACTGATGAGCAGTTGACAACGCTAGAAATTCCACCAGAGATTCCATCCAGGAAGTCTCCCAGAGACCGACGTCCTTTCACTTGGTATTCAGCAGAGCAGTATGTGTTATTGACTGACGGAGGAGAGCCCCAGTGCTTTGCAGAAGCCATAGAAGATGAACATAAGACATAGTGGGTTGAGGCCATGCAAGATGAGATGCAGTCATTGCATGATAACCACACATTTGAGTTAGTAAAGCTACCTAAAGGAAAAAGAGTTTTGGAAAACAAATGGATTTACAGGAAGAAGCCAAATGGGTTCTCTTTACGGCCACGGTACAAAGCTAGATTGGTTATCAAAGGGTTCGGTCAGAGAAAAGGTATTGACTTTGATAAGATCTTCTCTCCGGTCGTAAAAATGTCATCAATCCATATAACACTCGGCCTAGCAGCTAGTCTTGACTTGGAAGTTGAGCAGATGGATGTGAAAACTGCCTTCCTTAATGGTGATTTGGAGGAGGAGATTTATACGAAGCAGCCAGAGGGTTTCAAAGTGAAAGGGAAAGAGGATTATGTGTGCAAGCTGAAGAAAAGCCTATATGGTTTGAAATAAGCACCGAGACAGTGGTATAAGAGATTTTAGGCTGTTATGGGGGAGCAAGGCTACAAGAAGACAACTTCTGATCACTGTGTATTTGTTCAAAAATTCTCTGATGATGATTTTATTATTTTACTGTTTTATGTGGATGACATGTTGATTGTTGGCAGGAATGCTTCGAGGATTAACCAGTTGAAGAAGCAATTGAGTAGTAATTTTCTATGAAAGATTTGGGGCCAGCAAAAAAAATTCTTGGCATAAGAATCAGTCGGAATAGGAGTGCCAAGAAGTTATATTTGCCACAGGAGGAGTACATTGAAAAAGTGCTTCAGAGGTTCAATATGGACAACACTAAAGTGTTTAGCTCTCCTCTTGCTACCCACTTCAGACTGAGTACAAAACAATGTTCTTCTACAGATAAGGAAAATGAAGACATGGAAAGAGTTCCTTACGCCTCAGCAGTAGGAAGTTTGATGTATGCAATGATTTGCACAAGACCAGATATAGCCCATGCAGTTGGTGTAGTTAGCCGATTTTTGTCAAATCCGGGAAGAGAGCATTGGAATGCAGTGAAGTGGATCATGAGGTATTTTCGAGGCACTTCCCGTTTGAGACTTGGTTTGGGAAACGGACAACCATTGTTAGTTGGCTACACAGATGCAGATATGGCAGAGGATGTGGATACTCGTAAGTCTACTTCGGGTTATTTGATCACTTTTGCAGGTGAGGCTGTAGGTTGGTAATCGAGACTTCAAAAGTGTATTGCTCTTTCTACAACAGAGGTAGAGTTTATTGCAGCAACAGAAGCGACTAAAGAGTTGCTATGGGTAAAGAAGTTCTCGAGATAACTTGGTTTCAAGCAGCAGAGGTATGTGTTGTTTTGTGATGGCCATAGTGCTATTCATCTTGCTAATAATTCCATTTTTCATGCAAGATCTAAACATATTGATGTACAATACCATTGGATCAGAGATGCGTTGAACAATAAGTTACTTGAACTTGAGAAGGTTCACACTAATGATAATGGTTCTGATATGTTGACAAAGACCTTATCAAGAGAGAAGTTTGAAGTTTGTTGTTCGATCGCCAGGATGGCGATTCCCTCCACATAGTCAGAAAGGGGGAGATTTGTTAGGTTTATTTCCTTCTATATGGAGGAAAGCCCAAGTGGGTTTTATCAAAGCCCAAAACCCAGCCCTTTAAGGTGTAGAACCCTAAGGAAGTCAGAAAAGAGAATAAAAAAAACATAAACCGTAGTTTTCACAAGTGAGAGAGAGGAAAAACGAAGTTTTTCCATATACTGCCCAGATTTCATCAAACCTCTGATACCGCTTTGTCCGTGGTCCGATCGAGCTAAAATTTGGAGGAGAGGTTCACGACTCAATGAGTTAAAATCTGAACGGTGTAGATCGAATTTTGGACTCGGGAACAGTGATTTGTGCCCGTGAACAGTAACCAAGTTTTTAGTATTTTTCTCTCCAATTCTCTTTGTTTTTTGCCAGGATTGGTGATATCTTGATGAGATGTATTATAGCCTCTAATTGCGATTAGAGAAGACTTTGTGACCCATTATTTGGTTGGTAGTGGAGATTTCAACTAGACTAGGTCCTGTGGTTTTTCTCCCTCAGACTGGGGAAGTTTTCCACGGAAAAAATTGCTTGTGTTCTTGTGGCCTGGTGTGATTGATTATTTCTCTATTATTTTCATCACATATAAAAGTAGAGATATATTTGCTTGCATATAGGGAGAAGAGTTATTCCGCTGTATTTGTTTATTGTTATCTCTTCCAACAATGTCTTCAAATAAACTTTAGAAAGCCAACTCTATTTCTTATTGCACTCTATCTTCGTCATCCTTTCATTAAATTCTATTTATTTAGAAAACTGAAATTTAACTCCATCTTTTTGACTTTTTACCTACAAAACTTTATTTTTTAAAAAATTATCCCTTAAAATAAAATAGATAATAATTTAGTAAAATAAATTAACAAATAATAAAAAGTTATCAATTAAAATAAAACAGGTAATTATTTAATTGAAAATTAATCTTTACCTTAGTGTAAACTAAACCATTATATTAACAAACAATTATTATTTTTAAATAAAATAATATACTAAATAATAAAATAAGTTAATAATTAAAATAAATCCTATTATACTCTGAATTCTTCAAAGTTAAGACAAGTTAGCAATTAAATATAACATTATATGTAGAAATGTATTTTATTTTGTCCACGCATATAAAATTTATTTTGCTCATGCTTGATTATTATTTAATTTAGTTTTGAATCATAATTAATTTTTTACATATAGAAGTTATATTATTTATATTTGATTATTGTTTTGTTTAGTATTAGATCACATATAATTTTTTACATATAAATACTGTATTAAGAAATATTGTTTATTTTAGTTTTTGATCACAATTATTTTATTATTAAGTATACTTTATTATTGTTTATAAAATTTATTAATAAAAAAAACTGAACTCTTATAAATATATATTTATAATGACTTTATAAATATTAAATATTAACTATTTAAAACAAGTTGCTAATTAATTACTGTATTCATAAAAATAAAAAATAAAAAAACTATTATAAATTAACTTTTAAGTTTTGAAAAATTATTATTATAATACTTATCTTTTATTAGTATATATATACATATATATGAAAAATGTTTTGATAGACCTATTGTGTTATCTTTGATTGGCCCACGCACTCGGTCACCAACGTTATTGGGCTAATCTTAACGGTCACCCTCTGTAATCTATTTACTAAGTACAATTTACGAGTGATATCTCAAATTCGCTTGTTACTAACGTTAAAACGATCCATTTTTGAACGCAAAATAGATCACCAGGACAGCGAGGAAACTAGGTCTAAAAAGGATAAAGTTTTCACTTCAAGCTTCGGCACAGAGAGGTAGAGAGAGAGAGTAAGGTTAAAAGCTCGATCTTTCGACTCCTCTCATCATCAATGGGTCCGTGGGAAGCTTTTCTCAATTGGCTTCGAAGGTTAGCTCCTCCCTCTCTCTCTCTCATATCTTTGAATACAATATGTGTGTGTGTTTTTTGTACATGTATTTTAACCATTGGGATCTCTATTCGGTTTAGTGAGCACCAATTGATTATTTTTCACTTTGCATTTATGTAATTGAACCCTAAGACTATTAGTGGCTTCTAAAGATTGTTTATGGACCAGCAATCTGAAACGTATTTGTGGAATTAAATTAATCAAAATACAGCAATTTTTTTTTTTTTTTTTTTTTCTTCTTGCCTAATTTTAGAACTCCCCATTCCATGGGGTTTTTGATTCATGTAAATTGCAGTGCTTGACCATGGGTCCATGACAATTAAAACAAACCCGAATAGTGGACACTTCTAAGTGCCCTCCACAGTTTTCAGACATGAAATTTAGGAATTCATCATACCCTCACGAGTCTTCTGTGAAATGACTTCAATTGAGGAATTTTGATGAATATTATGATATATTGTCCTTTGTTATTTTCAACATCGTAAATTTAACACGTACAGCACTTAATCGGAGAGCATTTGCCTGACAAAATTTCCAATTGTTTCTGATAACCTGATTGGAACTTTTAATGCCCAAATATTGGAGAATATTTTATATTTTGCTGACTCATTTGCTGTCCTGCTCTTATGGATTGGTTGCTTAAGATGGATCGGCTCACGTTATTGTTTATGTGGTTCCAGCCTTTTTTTCAAGCAGGAAATGGAGCTTTCTCTGATAGGGCTTCAAAATGCTGGAAAATCGTCACTTGTAAATGTTGTTGCAGTAAGTAATAAATGTTGATCATTCTCCATTGTTCCCCCTTTTTGTTTTTATTTTTATTTTTATTATTATTATTTTTTTCCAACCATTTGGGACTAATTATGATGCATGGGAAATTGGCTTGTTCGTCTTGTTCTTAGACTGGTGGATATAGCGAAGACATGATCCCCACGGTCAGTTCTCTTCTTTTCAAAAGGAGTTCATATCAGCTTTTGATTTTGCAGATTAATTTTCTTCTTCCTTTTCTTTATTTCTTTCCTCATTTCACAATGTTCACCACCTTACAGTTTCCTAGGGGTAATTAATATTGATACATGGCATATCATTTGTTCTTCAGGTAGGATTTAATATGAGGAAGGTAACTAAAGGGAATGTCACAATAAAGTTATGGGATCTTGGAGGTCAACCCCGATTCCGTAGTATGTGGGAGAGATATTGCCGTGCAGTTTCTGCTATTGTGTATGAAACTAACCATTTATCTCATTTGACCTGTTGTTTGGTCTAACTGTAATTAATTCTTTTAGCTGTTCCAAGGAAAAATATACAACTTTTATAAACCATATGAGCATTACATGTTTCATATTATCAACTACTCAAATATTGCATTCCATGTTCACTTCTAACCCTTCCTGTTAGTTCTATTGAAGAAATTAGTTTGTATACTTGACAAGTTACGTTAAATATTAATTGGATATCATGTTAGTTTTATAGACAAATGTAAATTGCATTTGTAAAGAAGTATTCAAATTGGAAAGCAGTCACAATATTGTAAATTTCTATAGTAGCCATTTAGTTACAATTTGTAAGATTATCATAAAAATTAACATGTTAGATTGAATTTAGAATGGATTTTCATACTCTTTTTGGAGAATTGTCTATTGCCTTTATTCTGGAAGTTTGCCATAGAAGATGCATTCCTTTTTACTTAATAAAGGTTTTTTGTCCTTTAAACAACCTTGCCCTAGTTCTCCATAGTAACTTTAAGCTTCATTTTGAATTGTTTGTCATCTGTTGGTCACATACAATTAATTATATTACTGGTTTTCAAGGTGTTATTTTGTTCCTAGACATCCATCCTTGGAGAATTTTGTGAGAAAGCCCCCGCTGTTATGCTATTTGTGCACACCCCTCTATTTTTCCGCTTTGAAATCTCACCCATTGACTTGCTAAAATTTTTTGCTTAGACAAATTCAACTGAGATTATATATATATATGCACATATATAAATCTCTAACCTATCATTTTTATTGTTTCAGAACTTCATAAAAAGATGCCTAAACATCACTACCATGTTACCAATGGGTATCATTTCCTCGTTTGGAAATTTAAGCTGATAATAATTTTATTATTTTTTGGTTGAAAAGTTATATAATTATAGATGGTTCCATAATTTAGTTTTTAGAAGTTACAACAATACTTTTGTCAAAGTTTTAATAAGATTCTTGAATTTTTTTATTTTATTTTACTAAATGAATATACCCATAAAATTTAAAATATGGAAATTGCTGTTGCTGGAATTGAAATGTTTTAGATTCAGGCTTGAGTAGATACTGATAAGGATAATCACGAACGGTTAGCCAACATTATCTTGAGCTTAGCATTATTCTTGAAGAAACCCTAGGTATAGGAAATAAAAGGAAATGGGTGAAAAGATATCACAACAAAGTGATTAGCCTTGTATTTCTCATATTGAATTTGACTAATCAAGAGATATTCTCTGCAAGAATAATAAGCTCAAGATAATGTTGGCTGACAATGTAACCGTTGGTGATCATCCTTATCACTCCCCCTCAAGCTGGAGGGTGGCGGTGGCAGGACTCCAACCTTGGGCAGCAGGGCATGAGAGGCTCCTTAGATAAGGCTTTGGTGAAGATATCAACAATTTGAGAGGCAGAGGGGACATAACATGTAACAAGGAGGGCACCATTAGGAACCTTTTCAGGAACAAAATTATAGTCCCGCTCAATATGCTTGGTACGAGCATGGAATACCGGATTCACTATCATATGTTGTGCACTAGTCAGAAAAGAGTACTGGTGAAGTAGACAGTCTAAGCCCAATTTCTCGAAGTATATTAGAAATCCAATTCTGTATAGGTTAATCACGTTTGGTATTCCATGCCCGTACCAAGCATGGGAGAGAAGGATTGTTGCTTGTAGTCCCAATAATTTGGATTTTGTAGAACAAGCTGGCAGAGCCCAGAGCTAGTATTGTAATCCCAGTAATTTGGATGTTGAAGAACAAACAGGCGGTGCCCAGAGCTAGTATACTACTATATGTGGGTATAAAGATTGCAAGATTCAATATCCATGTACATTTGCTTGAAGGGGATGAAATCCCAGTTCAAGATGATCAACTTTGATGCCAACAGCCTTGAAAGTTGGTGGTCTTGCTCAGAAAGGAAGCCGCCTCCTATTTGTCCTTTGTTCTTGACACAGATTACACTTCATTTTGATAAGAAATTTGTTTCTTTGTTCTTAAACGAACTTCTGCAACTGTTTGATATGAACAGTAGCAGGTTACTCCTTTGAGGATCTTCTTCCACGGAAGATGCACTTGTAGATGAGGTTCATTCATCTATAAGCAACAACAGAAGAGAATTTGATTGTATTAATTCACTTCATGATAGATTGAAAATTGTTAGACTGGAAGACCTAACTGATTGTTGGTCCTCCCAGGATAGAGAGGTTCATCAATCAGATGTGTCTACTAAAATTTGATTTTCTGGATAGCTCTTCTTGTGTGATGCATTCAATCTTTACCTTTTAATTAAGATTATTGTCTATTTTCCATCAAAAATACATTTGTCAGTCCCTTTCATCAAAGGTAGAACTAGTCAAGTTCAGCCGTGGTTCATTGAAAATATTTTTCTCATGATTTCTTAGTCTTTTGAGTTTGATTGTTCTTGCAGTTATGTTGTTGACGCAGCAGATTATGATAACATCAGCATCTCAAAAAGTGAACTTCATGATTTGCTGAGTAAATCATCATTGAGCGGTATTCCTTTGCTAGTTTTGGGCAACAAGATTGACAAGCCAGGAGCCCTGACTCAGCAGTCCTTGACTGATCAGATGTAAGTGGACAGTTTCATTTCCTCGATTGGTTTAATTTTTAGATTTTGGTTGCAGCTATTTCAATTCGGTAAGAGATTTACATTACTTAATGCAGGGGCCTCAAATCTATTGCTGATAGAGAGGTGTGCTGCTTTATGATCTCGTGCAAGAACTCAACCAACATTGATTCAGTCATTGATTGGCTTGTTAAGCATTCCAAATCAGCAAGCTGAGAAAAAAATGTTCCTTTATTGTATTTTGGATTTGTATTTGCCCAAAATTTATGAGAAAATGGAGTGTTGGGTTTTTGGTGAGCGGTCTTAACTGCGTAGTTGATTGTCTTACCCATGTCTTTGTTCTTTTTGTTGCTGTGTTGTACATTAAATTAATATTTCCTGTTAACAGAAGGCATCTATGTACACATTTGTGAACGAAGGGGTTCTAATTCTGCATTCATCCCACCTTTGCAGTTTGCTGCGAGAGACTAGATTATAGAGAAATGCTTTCCGAATCTCTAGTTCATTATTTTTCCAACTATGGCCATAATGATTGCGAAATGAGTAGAAATAATTAAGATTTAAGAATGATTCCTTTTAACATTATTAAATTAACTAGTTACTTAATGGATCTTTGGAATCCTGATTAGACAGGGTTTCATGGGTGAAGCTCGAGCATGCTATCAAAATATAGCCGCCACCTACTGCTGGTTAGTTGAAGGATTGGCAGGGCTATGTAATATGAGTTGCTTGACATAGGAATTGTAAAGGAAATTACATGTCTCGGTATGTTTGCACATGGGATTATTTGCAACACACTGAGTTTTAGTTTTAGGGAAACACAACAGTTATGGATTTTTTTTTTTTTTTTTTTTTTTTTTTTTTTTTTTTTTTTTTTTTACATTTTTCCATATAAATGTGCTGTATGAATTTTTACATAAAAATATTGCATCCTCAAATTAAAATGCACTTCAACTCAAGAATATGATGAGAGGACCATAAAATAAGATCTTCCAAGACGAAGGCAGAATGTGAAACCTTGAATTGGATGCAACTCCAAATGGCATAAACAACAAAAAAAAAAAAAAGCAGAGTGATAATGATAGATGCCATGTGTCCCCTTAATACAATAAGATTAAGTCTCAATAAGTTGAATTTTGTTTTTATCTGCATTATATAGAGAACTATTACTATGATTAAAAATTTGTTTCATTATTTCACCTGCCTTTTTAATAAAGTTTTTTATACAGGATATTTTTAATAAAGGTTTTATACAGGGTAGCTATTCACATTCCTCACCCCCACCCATTGTCATCCCTAGTTCTAGGGAAAAATAACTATTGTTGGTGATTTTTTTATATTTTTCTGTGTAAATTTGTTGTATGAAATTTTATATGAAAAATATTACATTCTCAATTTAAAATGCACTATTGAAATGGTGACCTTACATTAAAAATTGAGAGCTGGGATCCCTTTTAAGCCCTTGATAAAAAATTTCAGGATAAATTATGGGAATCGCTGTTGGAAAAAAAAAAAAAAAAAAAAAAATTAAAAAATATATATATATTTGCAAATGTGAGAGAACTATATAAACAGTCCTTTTATTCTGATTTTTTTTTTTTTTAAGAAAAGAGAGAAGTGTGATAAAAAAACCGTAGTAAATTACAAAAAAAAAAAAATAAAAAAAAATCATTTATTATCTTCTCCTCCCTCCGCAAATCAAAGCGCCAGTTGCGAGGTGAGTCGCACAAACTCCATCCATGGAAGCCTCAACAGGACCTCCTCGTCTCCCCACACCTCCAACACAACCGAACACCGAAATTCTGAAACAAAAACTCCTCCGAAAAGGCGTATACCCAACCCCCAAAATCATCCACACCCTCCGCAAGAAACAACTCCAAAAATCACTTCGCAAATCAAAACGCCATCAATCCCAATCCCAATCCCAATCCCATTCCCAACCACTCGCCCAATCTCAGGCCCAATCCATCGCCGAAGAAGCTCATTTCCAAACCCTAAAAACCGAGTACAGAAACTTCACCAAAGCATTCGATTCCACAACTGAAGGCAAAAATGGTGTTCCGATGATTGGGAAGCCTTGGGAGAGGTTGGAGAGAGTCGGATTGAGAGAGCTTGCGAGTGCGAGCAAAGAGCACGCCGCCCATAAGCTGAAGTCCGAGCATCTGAGAGAATTGAGTGAAATTCTCGAGAAGGAGCGTGATCAGTTCCGGTGGCTTTTGGACGACGACATCGAACTGGAAGAGGGTTGGCTGGAGAAAGAAAGGCGAAGTCAGGCTCCGCTGAAACGACGCCGCGATGAGGGAGAAGAGATTCGGTTTCTTGTTGATAAGTTCGTCATTTACCTCTATTCAATTTCTGTTTTTTTTATCATTAACATGGCATAATTCAATATATTTATGTATTTATATATGTATTTGTTTGTTCTTTCATGCTGATGGGTGCTGTATGGTGTAGGCTGAGTGATACGAACCTTAACGTGAGGGACTGGAAGTTTTCTAAGATGATGAAACAGTGTGGACTACAATTTACTGAAGGTCAGCTGCTTAAGATTGTTGGAGGACTTGGTGATAAAGGACAGTGGAAGCATGCAATCTCTGTCGTTGAGTGGGTATACAACTTGAAAGAGCATACACATTATAAGAGCAGGTAAATATTCATTTCTTGTATTTAATTTCCGCCAAAAATAGACCATTGGATGTTTTACAAACTTCAAAAAGTGATAAACTGGAATTACAAAATCATCTCACATGACATACAATGAAATCACACTTAGTTTGCCTCAATTGTTTTGACACATTTGACTTGAATAGTAAGTATATATGAGTTTTTACAATAGGAACGGTACATGAATGATTATGTCCCGACTACTGTCACGTTGCCTTTCCAATTAAATGATTTCTGCAAGCTAGTTTTCCTACATGTAGTTCTAGTGTTTGACAATCATTTAAAATTAGCAACTTTGTTTCCATGAGGAGACTTATTTACCTTTTTGTAGGTTTGTATACACAAAACTCTTGGCAGTTCTTGGGAAAGCAAGGAGGCCTCTTGAAGCTATTCAAATATTTGACTTGATGCGTGTAATGATAATTTTTTTTCTTTTAATTAATGTGCCTAGGTTCCTCTTTAAATTTGATAATATTGCTGGACGGAACTTAACTTTGACTTGTTTAGGGAGATTGCCAAATATATCCTGATATGGCTGCATACCACAGCATCGCTGTTACACTTGGTCAAGCTGGTCTTCTGAAAGAACTCATGAACATCATTGAATGCATGAAGCAGAAACCTTCCAGAAAATTAAAAAATATGCGCCACAAGAATTGGGACCCTGTCCTTCTTCCTGACGTGGTTGTATTTAATGCTGTAAGAGAGGGTTAATGTTCTAGATCCCACGTACGTTTCCTTTACATATAGTAACCTGCATATTGGCATCACTTGATAATTTTTTGAATTGGTGGTCAGATTTTGAATGCTTGTGTTCCATCCCATCAGTGGAAGGGGGTGTCTTGGGTTTTTGAGCAGTTGAGAAAGAGTGGTCTGAGACCCAATGGAGCAACTCATGGACTTGCAATGGAGGTACAATTGGTGGATCCGGAAGTCTATTGGCATTTTCATGTTTCATGCATGGTTTTGAGACAATGGAAATAATGCAACTTAATTTGTTGTGGATGCTAATAAGTTATAGTTATATGTTTGTGACCAACGGGCCAGTGGTCTAGCGTATCAGTCACTTGGGTTCAAGTTTGAGAAGAGACAAGAGTGTGTGAGTACCAACTAGGGAAAAAAAAAAAAAAAGTTATATGTTTGTGGATTTTATTCTTGTGCTGTCTATTTTTTTATTTTTTTTATTTTTGTCTAGATACTAAAAATATGGAAATTGGGAAGTGCACAACACATTTTAGGCATATTTGTTTTCAGATTTGAATCTTGTGCTTTTTATTTATAGGGAAGTATTTTTTTTCCTATTGGGAGAGTCACTACAGTGGACGTTGTTTTTATGTTGGAGGGTGGGATTATCATTTCAAATATGCAGTTCATCTTGTTCATAAATATTCTTCATTAAAAGAAAAATAAACATAGAATTTCTGAATTTTATTATGAATTCCTTGAGTCAAATTCACGTTATTTAAATTGTAAGAGGATGCATTTTTAATACCTTTATTCTTGTAGCAGTCTCAGGATCCTATAAATTGATCCCTCTAACGATTTTTAGCATCTAATACCATTTCATATTGATAATTGATTGAATCCATCATATGCTGGCATCGGTTTTTTTATATTATTTTCCTCGTATTGGTGACACACTAAGTGGAACAGCATATTCCTACCTGCAATTTATTATTTATCCTCAAATTATATGTGAATTCAAGTCTTACAGGTGGTGCTTATTGAAAGGTGATGCTGCAATCTGGAAAGTATGACCTTGTCCACGAGTTCTTTGGGAAAATGAGAAGAAGTGGGGAAGCTCCTAAAGCCCGCACCTACAAAGGTAGTGTTGTTCTTTCCTTTATTGCCAAGGGAATTGATTATTGACGGCTTACATATATTTTTTATCTTGAACTTTCTAGTTCTTGTCAAAGCCTTTTGGGAGGAAGGTAAAGTAAATGAGGCTGTTCGAGCAGTCAGGGATATGGAACAAAGAGGGGTGGTTGGGACAGCCTCTGTATATTATGAGCTAGCATGCTGCCTTTGCAACAACGGGAGGTGGCAGGAAGCTATGGAAGAGGTAAGTTTGTCTATGTCTGTGGTCCACTATCATAGGTTTTAAATTTCTTGGAGATGGGGTATTTGTACCATATATTATGAGTATACATTGGTGGCTAAAATGTCGATACCATCTTTGCGTTATATAAGATTGTGAAAGGGATGTTTCTTTTGATTGATACGACTGAATTTTTTAATTCTGCTGGAATTTGAATTATCACAGCATTGGAGTTCTGGTTGAATTTTTTTATTATATTTAAGAATAAAGCGTTGCTGTGAGTTAAATTCTTAATGTAGGCACCGTTAATTTAGATGCCAGATGCCGTGTTGGACCCTTCTAGTTTGCTGCCTGCAGTTGGCTTTTGAGCTTGTTTATTCATAGTCAAAATGCTTAAACACATGGATGTCATTTTTTTTTACGTTTTATTTTAGATGGACAATTGTTCTTTAAAATTCTTGAGAAAGTAAGATACTTGGTAACCACAGTTAAAACCTGTTTAAAAGAAGGCAGGATTGGAAAAAAAACCTCTCTTTTTGAAACTTGTGATTGTTGGGGGTGGAAAAGACAAGGTGTTGTTATTGGAGGTCATCTTTGTTGTACTGCATGTGGAATGTCTGAAATTATGTTTTGAGCTCATGCTTTTTTTAGAGAAAAATTATTACTTTCTGCTTTTAAAGCGTGACAAAGTTCCAAGGGCTTTGCGGAAGTGGTATGTCCTCTTCAAAGGTTAAGGGTTTGAATTCCTTGTGAGACTAATGGGTGTGTGTGTGACCCAAAAATAGAAGGCTCAGAGGCTGAACTTTCGTTTGCGAATTGCTGTGGAAGTTGTGAAATTCAGCACAATTATAAAAGTCAAATGGCATTGTGCAAAGTAATGCCAAATGTTAGTTTGTATCCAGTCTCTCCCTCACAGCACTCTGCGTAGTTAGGTTGAGCAATTGGGTAGGCCTTTTCTTTATCTGTGCAATGAGAGTGTGGTAGTCTTTTGTTCGTACATTTAAGTCCTTTTAATAAGGAATGCTTCTACTCCAGAACTTTGTGCTCCCTTTCAACCCACTGCTTCGCGTTCATTGAGAAATTCTTTTTCTAATTCTTGCTTAAAGAAAAACAGAAGTATAGTTTTTATATATAAAACACATGGCACCAAAAAGTAGAAGCACCTTTATTAACTGTTAATTGGTGGTACGGCATTTGAGGAAGTATGCATACACTTTGAATGGATGCACATATAATTGATATGCATATACATTCATAGATCTCATATAGACACTATGGTCCTAATATTACAAACTCGATACCCTCTTCACTTATGTAGCTGATGCTGCTTTGATCTGGGCAATTAGTTTGGTCCAGGAATACTTCCTTGTTGAAAAGGTTTTTTGAAAGAAAAAAAAAAGTGTGAATATTTTGGGGAAACCTATATGTTTTTTTATTTATGCTGCACCAGTTGGCAGCAGAACATAAATTGCTGTAGTCAAAAGGAAATCTTTTAGATTTTTTTATTTTTATTTTTATTTTTGTCATAATAGTTGAATCTATGAAGTAAGAGCTCAGTCCTTAATGTTGATTCTGTAGTCCTTTTAATCTGGTAAGTTTTATTATTTGTGGTATATAATGAAAGTTCATTCTTTTCTGCAAAATGCACCTGCAGGTTGAGAAGCTGAAAAAACTTCCTCTTACTAAACCTTTGGAGGTTACCTTCACTGGCATGATTATGTCATCCAGGGATGGTGGACATGTTTCTGACTGCATATCTATTTTTGAACACATTAAAGACCAATTCGCCCCTAACGTTGGAATCATAAATGCCATGCTGAAAATTTATGGCCGGAATGATATGTTTTCAAAAGCTAAAGAGTTATTTGAAGTGCTGAAGAGATATATATCTGTTTCTAATACTTGCTTGAATGGCTGTGGTTCTTCCCTTAGTCCAGATGCTTACACTTACAACACAATGCTTGAGGCATGTACTATTGCTCACCAATGGGAATACTTCGAGTATGTTTACAAGGAGATGGCTCTTTCTGGGCATCAGCTTGATCAAAGTAAAAACGCAACTCTGCTTGTGGAAGCATCCAGAGCAGGGAAGGTAATACACTGTCCTCTTTTGTGGAAGCAGCATTGTTTGATCCATGTAATTCCAAAGATTGAATCCGATATAATAGTTTTCTGCTGATATTCCCAAGAACAAAGTAATAAGAATGTATTTTTTCTCTGGCTATTATTAATCTGACTCCACTCTTGAGAAATTCCAGACGGATTCCAACATTTTCGTTGTCATTTGGTGCAACCAAAAGGCAAAGAAAATGAAAAATGTTTGTTTCTCCAAAGTACAGGAGCAATGCTAATTGGGCAAATTATTTCCTAGATAAAATTGGTACTGCATTATCTCCATTAACTAATCTGAATGCAACTTCATATTTTTATGCTATCAATTGTGCCCCTTTCTAGCTTTGCAACTATTTTAGTAGTTAGAACTCTTTCCTTATGAGGTAGTAATTGAAACTAACTCTTTTGACTGTTCTAATTTTATTATTATTTTTAATTTTATTTATGCAGTGGCATTTGCTGGAGCATGCATTTGACACAATGTTGGAAGCTGGTGAAATACCTCCTCCACTGTTCTTCACCGAACTGCTATGTCAAGCAGCAGTGCGACATGATTATGAAAGAGTAATCTCCATGGTCGGCGCAATGGCCCATGCTCCATTTCAAGTCAGTGAAAAGCAATGGAGAGACATCTTTGAGAAAAATGGAGACAGGATCGGCAGTGATAGTTTAAAGAAACTGTTAGAGGCTCTCTGTAGCAGTGATTTATCGAAGGAAGCCACTGTCTCGAACTTGTTAAAATCATTGCTCTCTCTCTGTAGTTCTGACAATTTAAAAGGGATTTCAAGTTCAGTAACTTCAGGCGATTCATCCGTGGATGAATCAAGTTTGAATGTTGATGATGGTAGATTACATTGTGATGGGCGTGCAAATGCGCAGAGTGTATCTGCAAATATTCTTAGTCCTTGCAATAACCTTTATGCCGATGGTGAGACATCTGATACATTCTATGATGGTCAGACTAGTAATGGCAGAGAGGATGATTCTGATTCAGAGATGACGTCTAGGTTCTCAAATTATGTTTGCGATGGAAATGGGAAGTCTAGCCTATTTACCAACCTTGAGGATTTGGCTGATGACTTGGCATCTGATGGATCTGCTGATTGTTGTGATGACAGACTCTCAAATCATGTTGAAGATGGAAGATTTGACGATGTTGGTGAGGAGGAGCATGACAATCCCACCAACAGTGACACTCAAGAATTCGACTTGCCTTCTGCACACGAAATCCTGGGAACTTGGAAGGAAAGCAGAAGGAAGGATGGTGTTTTCTTCCCCATTCGGTATTCTGGAAAGTAAGTCCATCTTGCTTCTTTGTAGTTATAACCACATGAACGAAATTAATGTAGCATTTGGATATCTCATAGGGCTTTTTTTGTATACTAGTGAATATTGATTTTGACCACAATACACTCAAAACTATAATCATGAATAATAAGATGAAAGAAGTTATTCGCTGGTTCACCATTTGTTTTATATTTCAACTATTATGATTTTGGCTCCAAAATACATTCTTCCTTTCAATTTCATATCTTTGATGGACCATTATTACCCTCTCTGAACCAAAGATCAACAAAGCAGAAACCAAACAAATCCTTCCAGTTTGCATGTACAAGTTTGTTTTCCATTAACACTACTTGTACAATTTGCTAATAAATTCTCTTTTTCTTTCTCAATAAAAGTTTGAACATTGACTTCTAGCTTGTTCATTAATTACTCAGACTAAGAAAATAAGTTAAAAATTAAATAAATAAATAAAAGTAGGAAACTACGTGAAGAAAGTTAACAAAGGCTGGAAGTTTTACCCTAGAGATCGAGATCGGGATCGCCCATGAAAGGGTACAATTTTTTTATCACTAAAATATCTTCAATGGCATCTTCATCTCCACCTCTCACCCCATCTCCATTCCCTTTGCAGTTCTCAGCTTTCTGTTTTGATGCTAAAGCTGATGATCCCCCAAATGCCCTCTTTAACCCGTTCATCAACTTTCGACCAAAATTTTTCTCAACCCTCGGAGTCCCATCACAAGACCCTTCAGACGAAAAAGACACTCCGGCTTTCTCTCTCCTTGGAATACTCCGAAAACTGGCTGAAGAAGCAGATCCTCTATCTCCTCTCTCTATCTTATTCTCTGAGCTAAAGCGAAAACTTGCAGACCTACCACTACCAGATTCCAATTTATGTCTCTGATGGTTTTTAATTTCAGACTCACGTAAGACCTTCTTCATGCTATTGAGCTCTCTCTCCAAGGTTTGGATGCGTGAGGCGGTGGTGTCCATGGCCACCTTGAGTTGAGCTGCCTGGCGCAGAGCTGCGTCGCGTTGGAGGATGGCACCGAGGGTGATGGCGTCATCTCTGGTGATGTGTTTGTTGCGAGGTTGGTGGTTGGTAGTAGTAGTAGTAGTAGTAGTGGCAGAGAAGATGGAACGGCGAGTGTTGAGCTGCTCCACGAACATGGCTTGGACTATGAATCTTAATGGCAATCTAGGGTTTTGCACTGCATGCACGAGGAGTTGAGGTGAGAGCACGGTGCAGTCTATGTAATTGCACACTCGGATTTTTTGTTCATCTGTTATCTTCCCACTATTGTCCTGTATATATATATATATATATATATATATATATATTATAAACATGAAAAGCATATATAAGAAATTGGAAATTGGAAAGAGTTGTTCTAAGATGCATGTGATGATCAAATGATCTCTCTCTTCTCTCTCTTTATCTAATTGTCTATCATTATTTTTTTAGGGAGTTCATGTCAATCTCGGCAGACTCGGCTCCTACTTAATATCGTTAATTTGGTTACTTCAAAGATTAAAAACTCCTTACATATATATGTCTCGACTTATATGTTTAGACTCAATTATTCATAATGAAAGATAAATTAGAGAGGACACTAATCATATAACCAAATGGAGGTGTGAATCTAATATATTGTGCGATAGACGTATGTTCATCAAATTAAAAAAGAAGTTCTATCAAATAGTTATTAGACTGGTCAAATTTTATGACACAAATTATTGGCAGTTAAGGATCAAAATATGTATAAAGTGAGTAGTAAAACTAAAAGATATAATATTAGAAATGATCACATTCACGAGATGATTGTAGTAAGACAATTTGAAGATAAAATGAGAGTTAATTGGTTAAAATAGTTTGGACATGTGTAAGAAGATGACATAATTTACATTGAAAATAATACTCGAGAAAAAGAAAGACCAAAGTTAACGAAAATATGACAACACGTGGATTGATTAATATTATGATCTTAAAATTATGACAACACGTGGCAGTTAAGGATCAAAATATGTATAAAGTGAGTAGTAAAACTAAAAGATATAATATTAGAAATGATCACATTCACGAGATGATTGTAGTAAGACAATTTGAAGATAAAATGAGAGTTAATTGGTTAAAATAGTTTGGACATGTGTAAGAAGATGACATAATTTACATTGAAAATAATACTCGAGAAAAAGAAAGACCAAAGTTAACGAAAATATGACAACACGTGGATTGATTAATATTATGATCTTAAATAGAGCGGAATGAAAACATAGTTATTCATGTAGCCCATCTTATGCACTTGAAAAAAACCCAATTATTGTTATTTTATACATGCACCCACTTTTCTCTTTATATATATACTAGTCAAAGAAAAAAGAAATTACAAAATAATAAAAAAAACACAATAATTTTTTGAGTTTACGCTTATGGGACTTGGACACCAAAAGAACGACTCATCACCACCATGAAAAATCATTAAAAAAAAAAAAATCTAATTACTTTTAAAAACTACCACAAAAGCCTTAACCATATTTTTGCCATTTAGTTAATAAAAATTATATACTATTATAAAAAATAAAATATATATAAACCATAAGAAAGCAAAAACTAAAATTGCAAAAGAATCCGAAACTATAATTCCAAAAACTCCTAAACTATTTATTACTCTTTCAAAATCTAAGAATCCCTAAACTATCTATTGCTCTCATTTTGAAAGTTCTTAATGCTTTATTCTTTTTGTGTATCTCATTTATTCTTCGAATGATTCATTGTCAACCGTCACTTATTTGAAAAATTTCTACCTTGAGCATGAAAATTTCACACGGAATTAAAATTTAAAGTAGCTCCTAAATTTTAAAGCAGCTCCTAAATTTGATCCACATATATACAATAGCACACACAAAATAAAGCAAAAGTAATTTACTTTTAACATATGGGAAAGGACAATTAAAAAATAAAACACAATTGCTTCTAAATTGAAAAAGTAATATACTTTTAATATATGGGAAAAGACAATTAAAAAAAAAAAAATAGAATTGCTTTTAAACTGATAACAAATATTAATAATATGAAATATGTATGTGAATGTATATAGAATAGCAAAATTGTAACAAAATTAAAGCAAAAGCATATAAACATAAAAGCCCTAACTTTGAAGGTTTGTCCTAACCTTGACCAGAAAAGCCCCAAAAGGAATTAAGCCCTACAATGTTAAACCATGCAAAATTATACAGAGAAAGGGGATTCCATCATAAAAGCTATGGTAAGAGCATAATAAAATTTTACTTGTGCATCAATATTGTTAATGTATGCAATTACTACAAATTCGGCTTATTCACACACACACAAAAGTAATCATAACCAATAAAATTAGGCTTATTCAAATTTTATTTGTGCATGACCAATATTCCTGGTCTTGCGATTACTATAAATTAGGCTTAATAAAAATAAAAATAAAAACAAAAGGTAATCATGGTTTGATAGAGAGAAAGAGGTGGAGAGCAGTACCTCAAAAATAAACGAGAACCCAAAGAGAAAACTGAATCAAAATCATAGAATTAAAAGACGTCTACAAGAGCCCAAATAGATATAGAATTGGAAAAAGAGGCAAGGAATCATTATTTAAGGAAAGAGTGCAAAGAGAAATAGAATTGAAAATAAAAAATATATATATATTACGTTTCTAAGAGTCCAAATAGAGATTTATTTTAATTGGCAACTTATTTTATGGAGACAATATTCGCAATTCACTTTTTTGCAATTGCACTACATTTATCATTTTTTTGGAAAGGACAAGAAAGTCCTTGAATTCATTAATGCATAATTCATTAATGCACAATTTCTTAATTTATAATATCATAAGTATCCTACTACCCTTTATACAACTTAATTTTTTTATTTTTTTTTACCTTCTTTACTTTCTTTACTATTTTTTTTTTTCTTTCTTTTTGTTTTTTTTTGGGGATCTTCTCTCAAAAAAAAAAAAAATTTATTTTATACTAAATATTTTATTTTTGGCAGTCCAAATGGATAATTTATTCCATAATGACTTTTTGTTTTGTAGAGATATTTAGTCAACAAATTTGACTTTTTTTTTTCAATTTTGTCAAAAGAGGTAACTTTAATTTTTAGTAATTTTTTATGGGTCCTGTCAAAAGAAATAATTTATTTATTTATTTATTTATTTTGGTCTTATCAAAAGCGATAGCTTATTCAATAGAGATAAACATTTTTGATTTCCTTTTGTGCTTTTTATTATTATTATTTTTTTGGAATCTTGACAACAAATATAATTTATTCAATAAATATATTTTTTTGGGATTTTTTTTCTTCCTATCAAAAGAGATAATTTTTTTAAATGGTTACTTTTTATTTTTTTATCCAGTCAAAAGAGGCAATTTATTCAACGTAACAAAATTTAAATTTTTTTGCTCCCTTAAATAAAAATTATTCAATTTTTATTTTATTTTATTTGTGTTGTGAAAAAATACTTAAAATATTAAATATTAGAGATAAGGAGAGAAAATATGAAAGGTCGGTTGTGTCATTTTAAAAGTAATAATTATTTACTTAAAGGTAAAGTTAGAATTGCCATTTCATTTAAGATTGTAGTGCAAATATTGAAAAGTTGAGTGCGAGTATCGCCTCCCCTTATTTTATTATGTTTGTATTTTAATTGATATATTATTTTATTATTTATTATTTATTTATAAATAATAATGATTTTAAATTCTTGACACCCTTGTACTTTTAATAAATAAATCAAAATCATAAAATTAAAATACGTTTATAAGAGTCCAAATACGAATAGAATTGGAAAAAAAAGGCAAGGAAATTATTATTTAAGGAAAGAGTCCAAAAGAGAAATAGAATTGAAAATAAAATAAAAAATCAATACGTTTTTAAGAGTCCAAATAGAAATTTATTTTAATTAGAAAATAATAAATTATCACTGGATTACAACATTCATTCTAAATTAGTAAGAATTCCATATAAATAAGGTCTCTAAATAGAGTAACTTAATAAGTTTTGTTCATACAGAAGGTTTATTAAAAAAATTATGCACGGTTTTAAATGTACTTGTGAGGTTTTGTTATAGCAAAAATAAAAAAAATAATAATAATAATAATATTTGAGTTAATGAGTTGAACCTAAATTAATATTCGACAAAGATTTATTTATTTTCTTTTCCGCAACGATTGTGATTGGAAATTTTTCATAAATACGTGTGTAACTGATTAAGCCTTCCACGTATAAGATTTTAAATTGAGGTTACCTTAAAATAGAGGTCAACCATGACATAGAGGAGGTCGTGACTCTCAGTCAACCGATGGTGCATGGACTCGGCGATTATTTGAAAATCTTCAACCCGCACCGTCTTAACGCCGTCGATACAACTTATAACGCCGTCAGTGTCTTCCATCAAACTTAACTCTTCGATACATCTGCTCACAAGAGACGCCGTAGTCTCTACCTCCGGAAGCAGCGACAGGCACGAACGGAAGACTATGGAAGCGAACTCACGGTTAACAGCGACTGCCCGACGGAAGTAGGTTTCCGTCTTCTGCCGTAAATTCTCGTCTTCTTCGCCGTTAGCCTCCGTCATTTCGAGAAGCTCTGCGGCTGTCCTGAGAGCCGCCACGTTAAACGGCGTGATGACGAGCTGATTCCCGTAACAGAAGTCGGCTACGAGAGTAAATGTTTCGGCCGTTATGTTTAACGGTGGAGATAGAGTTATTTCGGAGAATTCTGTCAGCTGACGTTTCAGATAGCCACTCCAAGATGCCAGAGGATCCTAAGAAAAAGAAGATGAATATAATAAATGCTCCTGAATTTACATTAATTGCCGAAAAGTACAGCTCTCTGTTTCCCAAAAAATAAAAATAAAATTCTCATTACATTTCAGATTATTAAAACACTCCCCTATCACATACTTTTTTCATAACATTAATAAGAGCTAAGGCAAGTACAATAGTAGTAAAAAAAATAATTAGACAAAAAAAAATAATAAGTACAATAACAATTATTTATATTTTTTGTTTTATTATCATTTTTATAACAAAGTTTATATTTTGTGAGTTCCAAAATAAACTCACACATGTACTGTGCTTGTTCTCTGTATTTAAAAATTTCCCTTAATTAATACTTTTTTTTATGGGAGTTGTGACTTACCGTACGGAGGCAGTATTAATTTCATCAAGTGACGAGCATAATTCTTTGGAAGTAGTCTAAGGGATTCGGAAACAAAATAATAATAATAAAAAAAATAATGCTTATTTCAAATTTTTCTTAAATAATTTTAATCTGAAATCTTTGGAAGTGACACCTAAAATTCAAGAGTAAAAATTGCCAACCCATGCTAGAAAGCAGCATACCAACTACCCCTTTAATTTTTTTTTAAAATATTATTCTCGAATCTCATTATCATTCTTAAAGTTTTAACTAACTTTACAATGTAAACTAATAATTTTTAAATTTTAATATATCTATATATATAATTTTTATCTTTCTTGATTATATTGCATTCATAAAATAAGTGATTTCGAGCAAGAAGTATGAAATATACATAAATATGAATAATTTGGACACATTGGATCTTGAAAATAGAAATTTAAAGTATATGTTTGCAATTTATTGTTCAATTTTCATAACCCATTAACCAGCCAAAACAAAATAAAAAATAACGTCACGTCTTGTAACCTACATGAAGCTTTTATCTTTTCAACAATAGATGGGAATAATAAAAAAAAGAAAATAGTAATTAAGATGAAGATACCCTGTGCAGATAGAAACTTGAGCCCTGAATGTGTATCAAGACATCAGTTTCAAGTCCTGTAGCCAGTGACCTAATTTAAAAATTAACAAAATAAAAGATTAAGTGAGAGAGAGAGAAGGGATTTTTGAAACATAAAGATACAATATATATATATATATATATATATATATATATATATATAAAATTAAAGAAATAAATAAAGATTAAAAAAGGGAATAATACCATTTCTTTGCTCTGGACTGGAGGGGTGCAGGAGGAGAAAGAGAAGGTGTGGAGGAGGAGGAGTAGTCTTCATATTCTTCTTCATAGATAGTCTCCACCACGCCTAAATCTGTCCAACCTCTCATTGCTTTCCTTGGGGGTTTTCTTCCTTGACAAACACACTTATCTCTCTCTCTCTCTCTCTGCTGCTGGTTGTTGATAATGCAATTAGGGTTTTTTTGGAAGGGGGTGAGAAATTCCCTGCTATGCTCATTACTTTGGTTGGTGCATTTAAGTGCTTGGATGTAAGGAATCATAAATGCTTCCCTAATTTATTGCTCTTTAACTTAAACCTTTTTCCAAATTTCATTTTTTACTTCTTCTGACCAAAATTCTTTTGGTTCGGTGAGTTGAGAAGAAGATCTGATTTGGATTTTGGATTTTTTTTTCTTCCTGAAATTTTGATTTGGTTTGCATTAGACACAAAATTTGGGAAATTGATGCTATAGATTATCCTCTACAGTATGAGAATCTACACTGTTTTTAAATTTTAACCAATTAACTGATGACACATTTATTCAAAGCAAACGGTAACTTTGTCTACAAAATATAACAAAATGAAAAATAAAAATAAAAACTATTTTCCCATCAATTAGTCGATAATTTTAAAAAGGTCAATGCATTAATTATTTATTTTCTTTAAAATACTACTAATACGGAACAAAAATGAATATTATAATTCTTCTTTGGTAGAATTTTATTCCTTATATGTTTATTAATCGTGGCTATATTTTAATTATAGATGTTTTTTTTTTTTTACTAAAAGTGTTTTTAGGATAGACTATTTTTCTTTAAAAGTCAAATGATAAAAAGAACATTTAGCTTATTTTAGAAAGGGCAAAACAAGAATAAATAATATTTATTAGCTAAACGAGAGATGAATAAAAAAGAAGAGAATTATGGATGCCTAATTATTAGCCAAGCTCAACTTTGTAACCTCACACTAAGCCATTCTCGTTCTATACCCCAAGGGCGCCTTCGGCATCCAGGGGTCACGGACCGACCATAGAATCCTGTATACGCTATCAATATATATATATATATATATTTAAACAAAATTTATCTAATAATTTATTATGTAATATGTAACAAAGTTTGTATCTTGGTAGAACTTTCTTACCATTCCTATCTGAATGTCATCCTTTGATATAAAATAATGGTAAAATAATGATGTCGTCGCAAAGAGAACCGCCTGTTAAGGTCTCATGTCTTAAGCGTTTTAATATTTTCACATGTTATTTCCTTCACATAACAAAAAGTATACATAAAAAAAGGAATTTTACATAGAAAAAAATTACAGAGTTCGATTAGTAAAAAATAACAATAAACCTTAGAAATGCCTCCTTTTAACCGTTTTTTTTTTTTTTTTGGGTCCAACAAACCAAAAAAACACAAAAAAAGAAAAACAAAAAACAAAACCAACCCACTAAACACCATGGTCCAGAGTATCCAGATCAATAGCCTTCAACACCTTGGATGGCCAAACATCCCAACTTACATCATCAGATTGAGAAACCATTGCCAATTGACTGATAATGTGAGCAACCAAATTGTTTTTCCGATTGAAATATATATATATATATAAAGGAATTAATTTTACATAGAAAAAATTACAAAGTTGATTAGTGTTACTAATAATAAACATTAAAAATGCCTCCTTTTAACCGATTGTGCCATAAATTTCAGAGCCAGTTCTGGGTTGCTGTTGAAATAAAAAAATATTTTTATCAAAGAGCTATCAAAAAATTGCATCTAGTAAAAAAGCATGGTGGGCGTTTAGGGATGGCAATAGGATTGAGTGGGGTGGGGTGGGGGTGGGGATTTCATTCCCCATCCCCATTCCCAATCAAGTTTTTTACCCCCATCCCCTCCCCCATACCTATTTAAATTTCAACCCCCTCCCCGCCCCGACCTACCATGCAGAACTTTATTAAAATTTCAATTCACTCTCAACAAAATCAGCACAACTATAATATTTTTCAACCTAATAATTTAATAAAGTTTCAGTACAATTATAACAATTTGAAACATATCATTTCAACCTGATCAAACTTATAGCAAAACCACATATAATATTTTTTGGAATGGTATGAAAATTTTCAACATGATCAATCAAAACAAATAACATTTTTCCAACAACGAATATGATATAAGGGAATAAATCTATGGTTTCAGAAGTGAATATTATATATATATAGAGTTATGTAATTTAATTAGTAATATGTTATAACATGTAAGGGCAGTTTTGTAAAAATGTACTTTAAACGGGCGGGGAGGGGCGAGGTTACCCTCCCCCGGCCCCGCTGGAGTTTCAAATATAATCCCTCTCCCCTCCCCATTTACATAAATGGTTCCCCAAACCCGCCATAACTGGGGCGAAGACCCGCCGAGTATGGGGATTTTGTTATCCCTATGAGTGTTTAGTGACATGGTATAATAAGTAATTTTCACAATTGAAATATTTTTTAATTTATTTGGTAACAAATTTTTTTTAAGCATTTAAATTACTAATTTTACAATAATATCCTTTAATATAATCTTACCATATTTGATAATAGCAACTTTTTTAAGGAATTGATGTAATTGTCTTTATAAAAAATAAAAAGGACAAAATTGTTTAATGAAAGAGAAATATTTAATATCTACTTAACGCAGTTTTAAAAGCGCTAAATTCTAGGTTCAAAACTCTACTAAACTAAAATTGGTAACCATTAAAATAAAAGCACCTTTTTAAACGGTAGAGAATCAATGGCTCTCAACTTGTTTTTCTTTTTTAAGGGTAAAAAAGAGCTGATCCTACTTGAAATTGGATTTGAAGAGAAAAAAAATTACTTATATTCAAATCTAAAATAAGAAAATATTCAAACCCTATTACAATATGTTGCAAAATTAAACCAATTTTCAAACCGAATCCATAATATCATAAACTTAGGTTTAGTCGGATACTAGTATTGGGCCAGCCCATAATGGCTGGTTTTTTTTATCGAACCCGTGCTTTGCGCCCAATCAAATCAAACCTCCTTAATGGCCCACTTAAACGAAGGTGATTTCATACGACGTCGTAGTTTATGACACAATCCCAAAACAAATTCACTATAAACACCCAAAACCCTAGTCCTACACACTGTCCTTGCCGTCATTTCAGTTGCAGAGAGAGAGAGAGAGTGGGGCAAAATGAAGTTCAATCCTAGGGTTTCCAGTTCCCGCCGCAAGAGCAGGAAGGCACACTTCACGGCGCCGTCGAGTGTCCGGCGCATCCTGATGAGCGCGCCTCTCTCGTCGGACCTCCGCTCGAAGTACAACGTCCGGTCGATGCCAGTCCGCAAGGACGACGAGGTCCAGGTGGTTCGCGGTACCTACAAGGGGCGTGAGGGCAAGGTAGTGCAGGTGTACCGCCGCAAGTGGGTCATCCACATCGAGCGCATCACTCGCGAGAAGGTTAACGGCTCCACCGTCAACGTTGGAATCCACCCCTCCAAGGTGGTCGTCACCAAGCTCCGCCTCGACAAGGACCGCAAGTCCCTCCTCGATCGCAAGGCCAAGGGTCGCGCTGCTGCCGACAAGGACAAGGGGACCAAGTTCACCGCCGAGGACATCATGCAGAGCGTTGATTGATTTCTCGATCGATCTGTTGGTATATCGTATCGCTATATTATAATACTTTTGTAGCTGCTTATTTTATGCCTTGTCTTGTTTGTCAACGGATGAGGAATGACATTGTTATGCTTGGATGATTTTGACGTGGAGATCAGGGTTCGGAATTTCTTTTTGTCATTTTGATTTAAAATGCTTATGTTACTCGGTGATACTTTTTGGTTTAATCCAATTTGACTTTTTAAAATCATGTTCTTATGTGTGTATCATACCTATACATATAAGTATAATTTAGTATTTCAAGTCATATTACAGACAGGTTGTTTTTTTTTTTTTTTTTTTTAAATTTTTATTGTCGTAGTGGCTTTTGTCATGGTGAACAGACTCTGCTCGTGAAATAATTCTGTTGTTTCTGCGAGTTTAGTGGTGGCATTTCTAGAATAGCTTGATCAATGGAAGGATGCGTAACAGTTTGCTTAGCAATGAACAACAATACTAGAATTTTGCCTGTGGTAAAGGTAAATTATGTTATGTCAAGGTTTTACTTATGACACTACCCAAAAACTGGTTTGTGGTCCATAGAGTGATCCTCCTCTCAACATGATTTTAGTTTTTATGGTCTTCACCATTCTACCGTCCTGAATTTTTTGTCAAGACTCTACATATCTTTGATGCCCTTTTCCTGGGTAGATGCTGCCATTTGCGGGGTTAGTTTGATTCTTTTAGTATATGCAAAGAACTTGTTGAGTCTTCGAGTTTTCATGGAGTATACTGGTAACATTGAGTTTTATGGCTCTTTGGCAAGTGGGTTGTGCATTCTTATTGTAGCTTTCTAAAACCATTCACGAGTGAACATTTAGTGCCTCAAGCGATATTAAGCAACTAATCCTTATGTGATGTTTAGATTACAGGGATCTTCTCAAATGTGAATATGTCCATTATTCTTTGTTACTGTAATTATTTATATTTTTTAATCTAGGCTATAATTTGGAGTTGAAGTTCAGGGTGAAGGGTTTTTGTTGCTTGTCTTTTTTTCAATCTAGGCTATAATTTGGAGTTGAAGTTTAGGGTGAGGGGTTTTTGTTGCTTCTCTAGGGTATATCCAACTTCAAGAGGCATTTTTTTATATATAAATCTAGGCTATAATTTAGAGTTGAAGTTTAGGGTGGGGTTTTTATTGCTTCTCTAACCATTCAAAATTTGTTGTGCAGATTTAGATTGTACAAATTTACAAATCTAGCATCTTTTCATTAGTACTAAGACATCCATACATTCACAGAATGTACCGTGTCATACTGAGAAATGTTCACCTCTCAAAACTTTAGAGGATGGAAGCCCTCGATGGTGGTTTTATTTTGCTTATAAACTGCATAGACTGTTCTTCTTGAGCTCAACTAGAATTGCATATGCTGTCAATAGCATACTTCGACTGCTGCTAGCTAATTGGCCTAAAAAGTTAGGCTTGATAACTTTAACCGCTAGTTAGTTATAAGAATGAGCAATCTTGATTTTTTTTTCTCCCCTCGTTTGAAGCTAAAAATGGAGATCCAACCAGTTCTCATGAGCTAGTAACTAGTTCAATGGCTTCTCGTTTATTTGTTTCTTTCTACCGACCTTCATCTCATGTACCTACACCTCCCTCCTTGTTTTCACCCCATTTGACCTCTTTGCATCTCATGGAATATGTCTGCCATTCTCCTTGCATCTTGAGTTTTATGTACTGAGATTTGTATTTTGTTGTGTTCAGTATAATTATGATGGTTTTTGGAGGAAAACTATATCTTGTGGCATGAATTGCAGTCTTGAAATTGTGAAATTGGATGTTGAATTAATTATTATGAGGGTTAAAATCATAAAACCCTCCTCTACTATCCAAACTCTGCATAAAACTCCAGTAGAATTTGAAAACCCCCTAATCAAAAGAAAGCTATTTAGTTACTTCCATATGACAAAATTGACCTTATGAATTAATATAAAATTAAAAGCTAATGATTATTATTTTAAAATTACAAAATACCCTTAAGTGGGTCTTCTTCCTCTTCACCCTCTCCTTTCTAAAACTCTCGCCTTTCTCTGGCTAAAATCTTTCCTATCTATTTCAATCCCAAACTATCTCAACCATTTACTTACATTAGTAAGCAAACTTATCTCTATCATCCACCAACAGAAAGATAATACCTCTCTCTCTCTCTCTCTCTCTAAACCAAAGCCAACCCAACCAACCTTCCGAGACTTGACGACTTGTAGCCCCAACCATCACACCACCGTTCATTCGAGCCTTGCCGTCGTTGTGTATATATGTATCACATACTAATGTGTGTGTGTGTGTGTACTGACCAAGTACATGGTCGTGATTCCTTTCTCCTGCTCTTTGATTATAGTAACAATATTAATTTGTGGGGGAAAAAGTATATCCGATTTGCTTCTTTCAAACTTTTCATTTGCAAGAGTGAAAATGTGCAAGGTATAAAGTTGTCGGTTAATTTTGTTTTAGTGGTTAAAAATTTCTTTTTTGTCTTGCTGAATGTATCAATGGTGATATATGTATGTGGGTGTGTGTGTGTGCATACGTCATCACTAGCAGTATATTTAATGGAATGCCAGCAGATTAGTTGAAGTTTGGTTTGCATCAATGATCCATATATATCAGCTTAAATAGTACTTGGGTATATGTATATGGTTGGGTAGTGGGTACTTTGAGTCTTAATCAATCGGGGAAGAATCTCAAGTTCTCCGGCACTGACCAAAAAGCAGTGATTGGGAAATGGGCATGGCATGTAGTTGTAGTGTCCGCTTTTGATCAGTCTTTGATCCAATTTTGAATCATTAATCATTTATATGATGGTACTAGTAACACAGAGCTTCACGAACCTATGTACAATGACCAGTCCGGGGATTGGGACTTCACCCTTCTCTGCATGGGATTTTCCGGTTATACTCGCCTGATTTGGGAGTCGTCTGATTAGAGTCAGATTGGTCTGGTTTGAGAGAGAGAGAGAGAAGAGAGAGAGAGAGAGAGAAAAGTGTGTTTTAGAACCCACTTGAGAGTGTTTTTGTAATTTTAAAATAACAATATCATCTTTTACTTTAAAATTAAATAATATAAAGTTAATTTTATCATTTCACAATCGAAATGGAATAACTTGGTTTGTCCGAGTGTGCATCCAATGATTCTAACAAAGTCATGTCATTTTGATAGTAAACTTGAGTGGTTTGTTTTGGCTGTTGTGAGAACCACTGGCGATTGTATTTCATTATGATTGAAATTTACTGTTACTGCCCAATTTAAGCCGGAAACCAAGTGGATTTTAAAATTCTGTTTCCTAGTTATCTATATTATAAAAGGTTTTCACTCCTTTCATTCAATTTACTGGATACGTAGTTAACAATTGTGTAGTGGCATCCCTTGGGAAGGGAGCTCCACCTCAAGACCACTTGACTTGATTCACATGGATCTCTTTAGTCCTATCAGAACTAGAAGTATTGGTGAAAGTAAGTACTTCATGCTTTTCATTGATGATTTCTCAGAACTAGAAGTATTGGTGAAAGTAAGTACTTCATGCTTTTCATTGATGATTTCAGTATGAAATTATTTTCCGAAAGAGAAATCTGAGACTAGAACACATTTTATCAAGTTTGTAAATCTTGTTGAGAATGAAAAAGGATACACTTTGAAGAAACTTAGGTTTAGTGCAGGCAAGGGGTGGCCATGTACTGTGGCCAAGGGGTGGTGATGGTGGACATATAGTGCAACTATGGGGTAGGCCTTCAATGCAAGATAGACAGTCTCAAGAGGTAAATGATGAGATTTTTATAGCCATAGAGGTGGTAATGGTTGGAGCATGAGAGCGAAGCACGTTCGAAACGTGAAAACGGCATCCATTGGAAAGGGAATTAGAGACAAAAAAGAAGGAAAAAAAAAAAAAAAAAAACTTAAATACATTAGAAAAATATATCATTATTGTGCAAGTCTTTCTAATTTTTTTTATTATTTTACATATTATATCCACTATCATCTTTTTTTAACAAGATTTTTTATCTTTAGTTCAACCCTATAATTCTCTTGGATAGCATTGAAGTGTTCTTCCATAGAAAATTATAACTAAATCACATGCCTAAGTTCTTTAAAATTTTTGTGTGTCTTCACCGAGGTCGTATTCTCAGACTTACGAGAGGAGACTGTCAAGCACATCGAAGTATTAAAATTGAGAAGACATACATTTCATGTAGCAAACCGCTCATGGTTCAATTGCTCACCCTGCAACATAAACATACAATTTATTTCCGATCCTTTTCAAGCCAGTAAAAGGATACAACCACCACCAAATTATTGTCACACATAACAATATGGGATATGGGCGTTAATGATATGATACGCTAACAGCAACAAGCACAAAATCTTTGTTGGTTCAAATAATAACATCAAGCCATTTTACAGAGTGCATTTAAACAGCCTCCAATCAATTGCTTTTAACTAAAAAAGTGCACGAGATACTCAAATGTGCATGTCAAAATGCTTCCTACCAAAACAAGAAGGAAAAAAGCGTACGAGTGCATATGTCAAAATGCCTCCTACCGAAACAGGAGCAACGAAACAAGGAAAGCTTAAGACCATGGCTAGACCTGAATATCCAAGTAAATCCTTCCAAAGTCACCGAGAAGCTAGAAAGAAATCTGTGTGGAACACTACTACTTATTTTAGCACCCTTTTAAGGGCATCCAAAAAACAATCAGAAAGGGTATTGAATTTTTCTACCATCAAGGCTTGAGAGCAAGAGCCACCCCAAACCTGGGAATCTTGTCCAAGGCCTTCGTGTCAAACTCACTAGAGATGGTCAGAACCGACTTTGGTATGACTTCATGCTGCAAAAGGGCCCCAAGCCTCCCATGATTGTTGAGCTTCGCTTTCACCAATGTCAGGTTATCAACTGCATACAACCCACCAACAGTAAATGTGTTCTCATTTGTTGAGAACCTTCTGGTGATCTCTCCTACAGCAGCACTCTTCTTTAATTGATCCACATGGTGTACATATGATGCCCTTATGGTATCTCCTTTATCACCCCTGAGAGAGAGCAAATAGATACAAGATTGTGTTGAAAATTTTATTTCCTCATCTAGTCTAAAAATAGATCTTACTATTACAGTTAAAACTCTCATCGGGGACTCACAAAATTATTGAAGCACAAGAGTCTGGTTTCATCACGCTAATTCCAGCAGTATATTTTGTAAATTTACCAGAACAGGTCTCATAGCCTGCCTCTGCACCAAAAGCAATAGTTGGGGTACCAATGGTCGCTGAAAGATCCACAGCAGGTGATTGGTTCAGGGCAACGGCAGTAGTGAAAGTTGCATGGTGATGGAAGTACTGAACCTCCAACTGTAATATAAAACACAACACAAATGTAAGCACAGAGTTAAAAAGGGCCATAATTCTCAACAGCTAATTTCCCAAACCAAACATAAAAGCTGCTGAAATTTGTGTACCTTGCCAGAGTTGTAATCTGGCAGTTTGAAAGAAGCAATAGTCTTTGTTGACGGCACAATCTCACTGCAAGTTAAAGTTGTTGCAATCTGCCAAAACAAAGTGATAATAGAAGGGACTCAATATAAGCAGGTGTGTTTCACTTCAAAATTTGAAGACATAAGGTAGGGAGCACCCACGTTTGATTGAGTATCAACTTTAACATCAATTACAGTATTCTTGTATTTGTATTGTGCTGCTACATCGCCAGCTGAAAGCCCTCCTTTCTTCAGTGCAGTCGATGTAAGAACCTACGATACAAAACATAAATAAATAAATGAGAGTGAGAAGCAGTTGAAATAAGTTGTTGCTTCAGATTGATATAAAATTTCAAATTTGACAACCAAAAATTACAATGAATATCCCGCCAACATGCGACACTTGGAGAAACATTAGCCAAAAACCAAAAGTGAGAAATTCGAAAAAGTTCCATAGCTGGCATCAGCGATTAGGAAGCACCCATGTCTACAACACTGCAACAAGCCATTTGAAGAAAAGACACGGACAAGGCTATTTGACTGAAAAACAGGATACTAACAGTACAAATTTAAAATAAATTAAAGAACTAGCAAAGTAACTACTGTTTTTGCAGCTGTGTACTTTTAGGTATCGGCCAAATATTCACAATTACGTTAAAGACCACCATGATTAGAACCAATCAGTGCAAAAACCCCACAAGAAAGAGCATACAGCTGTTTCACTGTTCTGCAGCGCAATTTTGAAACAGCATTATTAGACGGGCATAGAAGGCAGCTAAAGATGTTACAACTAATATTTTCAGAATACCTAAAGGAAATATTGTTTCATGAAAATTTCCAACAAAAATAGAATGCTGTAGGACACTGAGACATTCATATGTAATGTTAATTTTAATTCTAATCTGAAGGCAGTACCATTATAGAATACTAGTTAATAAGAATCATCACAAGGCTACTTCCGAAATAGCAAACCACCTCATCACTTCATTTCCACTGGTAAACCGTTAAAAATTAAAGTCAAATCCACTCATACAGTTTGAAACTACTACTCCACCACTTCCATCTACAGAAGCCATCTTCATGTGCAATTCTCGTTGATCTTCAAAATTATAAACTATAAAGTTCAAAAAATGCTCAAGCACAAAAAGAATTTCCAGCCCGAAAGATTTTATTTTAATATTTTTTTTTTTAAAAATAAAACATTTGAAAGATTGATCAAAATTCCTCAGTTCTTCAAGTGTATAAACATTCACAACACATCTAAAATTAACATCTTATTCCCAAATACCTGAGGTTACCAGCACCAATCCTGTTGCACCACTCCATTGTACAAAGTGATGATTAAAAGATTTACAGTCCTGTCATTTTTCACAATATCATCCATATTTTTTTCAATATTCCTAGTACCTTTGTAGAACACTCGTCTTTGCCTCATCATTTGTTACTAGATCATTCATAAATTTATTTATAGGCCAAACCAACTCAAAAACTTGAGGTTTACTACACCAAACTTTTTTTCCATTCCACTCCACAAAGGCCGCATTTAGTAATTAATCATCAGCCCATCATATTATCTTTTTGCTATCTCAGCCTCATATGCTACTTTATCTTCCTTTTATTTGTAAAACATTAAACTTCAGATGTCATTTCTTACTAAAAAACATCAGCTTACTTTTAAAACCAAACCAACTCGACACTCACCACTCAAATATTAGCAAGTTATTACTATGATTCTAACTTTTCTCGTGCTGAAATCTATCCATCTCACCACATCATTGCAACTAAGTCACTACACTAATTCTCTATAAATCAAATCATGATTGGTTCTGAACCCATCCCATGAGTTTTTCATTCAGTTTGAATCTCCAACCATCAGTATGACTATTATCTCATCCCACCTTGATGTATATTCTTTCTTTAAAACGTGATCTAGAGCTTTTCTAAAGCCTTTATTCAAGGTTATATCTATTGCTTAAACTTGTCATAGTCTCGTTAACCAATAACATAATAACATCAACAGAAGCCGCTTCAAGTCTCCACCTAAACAAGACAATTTTTCAAATCAATGCTACTGATCGTTCATTTATCAACATATCATAAGCTTCTTCCAACTATTAGAAACTATATCAAGTCCATTTTTTATCTCCAAAACTTTCTATCAACCATCAAACAGAGAACCACCAATTCTGAATCTCCTTGACATCAGAATATATTGTTTTCCTGAAATTGCTCTGTACAGCTAACAATCCAGCGATAAAGGCACTGTCTATGTTATGAGTACAGCCTATAAATCCTTATTGACTCACACTCTAACAGGGAAAGGACCCTCACGGATAGTCTTGCACTGTATGATGGTATTTATCTATTTGCTAATTGCTCTCATATGTTTAAGGAAGACTCATAGTTTGAACTCATGAGGCCCATGACAATTTGACGGACCTTTCATCTATTTTACACTTACAAATAGTAATTACGGCTTCCACTATTTTTTCCCATGCATTACATATTTTTCTGTTTATTTCATAACAAAATCAGTTATAAGCTTAAATATGGTTGGGGTGGCAGTTCAAGGCCCATCCCACCCACTATTTGAAGCCTCAATAGTTCTAAACTGGATCAGGCATCAGTCCATCATGCCAAGGTCGCCAAATTGTATAGTTGAAACTAATAAATATCAACTACAAGATCATGATCAAAATTTTGAATTCATATTCTTTACATATGTCTTTAACTCAAAGTTGCTCATTTGTTAATTCGACTCCAGTTAGAAAAAGGTGAGTATAACCCTATCCGATTTCCCAATAAGCAGTTTAAATATTGTATCTGACCCTTAAGATGTAACCTAGAAACAAAGTAGCTCTAGGATATGAAAAAAATCTATGAGCAATGTTCAAGATCATTATAATCCCATAGAATGGGTCATGAATTTAAGTTTAGCAAGCATAATGTGCAAAAAACTAAAATCAATTACAAGTGTTGTACTACATCCAAAGTGGAACTCAACATTACCAATTGTCACCTACAATGTACATTCATGACACCAAATGAAATTTTCTTTAGTTCCATTCACTAATAAACCTTTTTCTCTACTTTTGTATTATTATGTAGTTCCCCCAAATGACCTATATAATCCTAAATGTCATTTCTACTATAGCTAGAAATATATTTATGCTATGCTTTTAGGGGCAAAGACCTAGATACTATCTAAGCACTATTTCTTGAAATATTCAGCCTACAATGATTTCAAAATAGTGTGAAATTGCAGTTTTTCCTCCTCCCTCCTCTCCTTGAAATTCGATAGGACGTATTAGTTACAACTGCATCCTTCACTCTAAAAGCTTCTTTATCTTTGGTTACTTCATCTTTCAAATGATACATAATTTCCTCAAAATCACTCCTATGGCCATCCACCTAGGTGGCACACTTCACATACCACAAAACCAGGTATCTAATACTACTGTCTAACATACAGTAGTACGGTTATACACACTGCGTTCTAACATTTGATAGCTTTGCTCACATAATAGCTTGAAGCTTATTAAATGCGCTTACCGTTCAGTTTATTTAGATCAGCAAAATGTGTCAGTTTATTTGCACAAATGGCAACACTTAGAATTCGAACTTGTGTACCCAAAAATTTTAAGAGTGCACAAAGCAGCGGTATATGTACTTAAATACAGACATAAATATGAACAGGAACACAAAAGCACACAATATACATGAAATAAGCAGACACCCTAAGAATTCAGGAGTCAGATTAAATAAAGTTTTTCCATAAAACTAAACAAGAAAAAATGTGGGTTACATCTCATTCCATCTAAAAACAGTATAACTTTAGCTCCCTTTCAGCAATTGCAAAGTTATTCAACCACAAATCACAATGTAATGTTTTCTAATTAAAATAAATAAATAAATAAGTGCAAAAACAATTTCTAGTCCTAAAGTTGATCAAATCTTTATAGCACTGAGTAATGATTTGAACAAATATCAAATGGTCCAAGTATGACCATTCATAAAAAAATCGAAGCAATCCATGGGTAATAAATTCATACCACTCCAGTGTCACTGCAAGTTGAGACGGAGAACTTCTGATCAGAGTTGTAGTCCTTTGTCAGCAGATCTACATTATCATCAATACAATAGAGTATATATAAACACAACTATATATATATGCCTATATAAATTAGGATAGACAATACAATAAAGAGAAGTAAGTTAATGGATTACCTTTGGCTTTCTTGCCGATATCGGAGAAGAGTCCTGGTCCCTTGCTCATAATTGCAGATGTAGAGAGGGAAAGTAGAGATTAGAGAATAATAGATGAATCTGTGAAAGGAAACGCGAAGAGACCTTAGAGAAGCCGTGCGTAGAAAATAGGGATTTATTTCGTAGTCACCACGAAATGGGAATAAATCGCAGGAAAAAACTGAATCGTAACAGGCCGTGACCCATTGTGGTCACAGACCTATTCTCTGCCGTTGATTATAAACGTATGGCTGAAAAGTGGGTTCTTGCTCAAGTGAGTCGTGAATTTAGTATGATCATATTAGTGACAGGTTCGCAGCAAATTGTGAACCTACTACTAATCTACTATATATGACTAAAGCTAGATAAGTAGATTGATTTAATTGATGAGTAAAGCTCTGAGATAAATTGTTCAATTAAATTCTAACTTACTAGTTTATTATAACATTTTTCCTTGATTGATTATTTTTAAAGAAAATAATAATAATAATAACAATTGAAGTTGAATCTCACGGGTCTATTTGGTTTGTAAATTATAAAACAATCAAAAAATTGTACAGAAAATATTTTCAGAGTTACAAACCAATTGGATCCCGAAATGCTTTACAACCATGTTATAATTTGAAAAGCGCTTAAAGTGTGACTGATATTCATGGCAATGTGTTTTTTGTGCGCGTCTCTTTTTTTCCACCATTAATCATCCTTAACAGTTCTAAAACATGTTTGGTATTACAAATAATTTATTATTAGTCGTAAAAAAAACTCATAAGCAATATTATTTTACATGAGGCACTTTCATACCATTATTGTTGCAATGCCCTAGGATAGCAATGCCATAGAAGCAAGTGTTAGTCCAAAACAAAGTAAGAAATATTAGGAGAAAATAACAGGTGAATGATTAAAAGAAATATTTGGACCATATATCACATTCTCATAGCCACTAAAAGGAAGACTATCACTATAATACCATTTTTTTGTAAACATTGCTAATAGAATTTCTTTCGTTTAAACATTGCAATAAACCATATATATATATATCGTGGTTGAATTTTACTCTGAATTACTAAAATAATATTGGAATGTATACACTCTGGTATGATCATCATATGAGCTTACTGTATGTGCCTCAGGCTCTGCGCTAGTGAGCCTCAGACAAACAATTTAAGTAAATAGTAAACAGTAATCCATCATTTTCTGCTGTTGATAAGTACCACTGCTATTTAAACTTGCGTCCAAATGGCAAACACAAATCTATGTAATATCCATTTTCATCGTCTTGAATGAAGCCACCAAAATTTCACAAGAACTTTTAACATGAAAGTTGTGTATATACACATCAAAACCAGTACTGCTGTGAATAACTACCTACCAACCATATAATTATCATAACTCAAGGAAAGATTGACTCACTGATTGTCACTAACCCAAAACAGAGTTTCAACTTTTAGCAGTCTGTTATCCGTAATTATAAGGATCAAGTCTTGATATAGATATAGCTGCACACATCCAATCATGAAGATAAAAGGCACCGGTCAAGCATTCCAGAACCGAACATGAGCTGATGACATTTTGTTTGGTATGTAAGCTGAAGACATTTATCATGCATGTGAAGAACACTTCAGCTGAATACATTGCAAAAGTGCATTTCCAGGAGCCAAACATTAAAGCTACCAAACGACAATAATAAAAACAAAACAAAACAAAACAAAAATCAAAGTAAAATAAAACCCTAACATAAATAGTAATGATCAAAATAGCCAGTAATAGACTGCTACTCAGATCAGTGAAATCTCATTCTCTAATGTAAAAAATGAACCTTTTCTCCATCAGTCATCAGAATCAAAATTTTCATCATCTTTCATGTACTTCTCCTGCACTGCTGCTGTTGTGAAACTACTTAATTAAGCAAAACTATCCAAACTCAGTTTAGAAGTCGATATAATAAAAAATCAGAGGATGGATCCTATAAATGCCACCAGCAAAGACCATAATTTGTAATAGTAGCCTATGCCAGAGAACATAAAAACAAATTGGTGTGTGCATGAAGTCCTCAACATTAAGCAAAACCAGTTAGTGATTATGAATTTTAAGATAATCGTGTTAAAGATGAATTATGAAAATATTTCAAGAAAAGAATCGAAAACATTCAAAAAAAAATATGCTAGTACCGGAAACAACATAAACATGATCTATAATTTAACTATCCAAATAGCATATTTTGGCCTACATTGTATATGTCCATACCACCTAAATCTACTCTATTTTTTTCTCCAAAACGCATCACTCCTAATTCCTCTTAACATTTGACTGTTAATAATTTCTCTTCTGGTTACTCCTACCGATGCATGATTTATTTATTTTTAATACCCAACATTCTACTTCAATAAGATAGCTAAAATAACAACTTATTCCATTAACCTATTTCATACTCTTCTATTACATAAGATACCACTACCTTGTCTTCATTTTGCCCACATGATCAAAAGGAGTCAGCTGTATGAAGGATTAGTACTTATGGTTTTTGCTGAAGGATTAGAAATATGGTTTTGCTCGTTCAAAACACCTGCTATGTGCAGAAGATATTTGAAGGGTTTGAATTAAAGAAATGAGCAGGCATCATAAAGAATTTGAAAAAAGGATATCTATAATAATCCCAGTCAACAGGACCAGCAGCAATTTTGCTGAACTCAGTCGCACTCCCTTCTATGCCAGCAAATATATACCCATTGCTCTTATCGATCAGCTTCACGAGAGTCCCCACACTCTCTTTGTCCTGGAAAAGCCAAGCAACTAAAAATGTATGCTGACAACATAATCACATAAACCAAGAAAAAAATTGAAAGTAAACACACATGCCTGAATATCCAATGTACTGAAGTTGACTAAACCATGGTCTTCTATTACTTCACATAACTCCTTTGTGAGTTTCCTGCAAATACAAATGTTGAACAGCTCATATAATGAAAATATGATTTCTCTCTCTCTCTCTCTCTCTTATGATAATCCCACAGGACGACATGAAAATAGAGTACCCAACTCATCCTTGGAAAAATCAGCCCTATCAGACACTCTGCTCCAACCTTTCAAATCAAGAAATAAGAGCACAGCAGGGAAGACTGACAAAATATAATTTTGACAAATGCTTGCTGGGATTCATTTGAAAACCTGCTCTACAAGAGCCTGAATTTTCTAATTTTATGGACCTTATAAACTATGCAGCCTTTTATTATAATACAGTTAATATCATTAAATTATTCCTGTCTTATTTCCTTATCAGAGTCTCCATTGGATAATATAAAGAATATCAAACTAACTGGTCACTTGACAGCAGACTGATATTATGGAGCAACTTCCATGATCAATATGTCTCAATGCCTACTTGGTGCATCCAAATGAAGATGTGGCCTGTGGGAAAGAGAAGAGACAAGGGAAATCTTTCTTTGTAAAATATAGAAATGTTGTGTGATTATTTTGCATTTCCTCTTCCTCTCTGGCATTTCTTCAGTTCCACAGATGGAAAAATGAAAGAAACATATAGCAGAATTTCTTAGGGGTACCAGCAACAAGAGCAGCATTGTCAAAGGCGCGCAGCCGTGCGCCAAGGCTCCAGGCTCATCCAGGCGCAAATTACGCCTGTTGTGTGCCCAGGCGCACCTTTGACAACACTTGTGCCTTCAATTTAGAATACGAATGCTTTAATAATAATTTAATTTTTCAATTGTGCAACTCACTTCTCTTAGGCGCACACCTTGCCTTGCACCTTGCGGCTAGGCTCCAAAGGACCTCTAGCGCCTTAGTGCGCCTTGGGCCTTTGATAACACTGAACCAAAGCAAACAAGGGTGGACTAAAAAAGATCAAATTAAAGTTTATCTTGTAAGTAAATCCATTTTGAATTAAAGTTAGAATACTGGTAACGAGGCATTATATGAATGGGTAGAATCTTTAAGAACTGAATGAACTTCATCAAACAACATAAGCAGGAACGACAGAAGAGTTGATTTGATCTAAATAATATTTCCAAAGGATTTAACCAACAAGCACCTGTATTTAGCAGAATGAGGATCTTGATCAAGATGATATTGCAAGTACGATAAATCTTCAACATCTGTGTAGAATTCAAGATTAAAAGCTGCAATACAGATTAGTAAAATGATTAGTGAAATACAGTTTTTGAGTGATCAATTTGGACTATTTCAGTTGCATATTAGACGGATAAACAAAAAGATTTTTTTTTGTACCTATATTACATCTAAGGCAATAGAATGCTTGGACATACCTAGCTTTCCATAGTTCTCAATGAGATCAATTTTTGACAAAACATTGATGTGGGGAAGTTCCAGATGTAGCATGGTAGAGAGAGAAAGAAGCAACGCACTCACATATTTCCCAGGGTCACTGCAGAGATGTGCATCTACTAAGTGGATGGCAGTCAACTGCACAAAGTGAAACCCCCTTTAAATTTCAGTAAGAGTGTGGTCAAGTTACTTTGTTTGTGTACGAGGGAAGTATACAATAATTAATGAAATGTAATGAAATGTTGCCAAATAAACCATGACAGAGAAGCCTTGCATACCCTAAGATTCAACTTTGTTATAAGTTTGCTCATAACATTCTTGGCATTTGAATGAAGGAAAAATAGTTCCACTTGGCCAGGAAAATCAAATAGAAGATAGTGATCTGCATGGTAATTGAAGTATGTTAGGATTTTATTGCTTCACTAGTATCTAGTAAACAACTAACTTCTAATGCAAGAGTAATCAAATTGTAATAGCAACTTGAGTTCTATTCAACATAAACTACAAATTAAGACAATGAAAGGAAATTCACCAAGCAATAACCAAAAAGACAAAATTGGCTCATAAAATGGTCCAAGGTTCATAATCTACTGTGACCAGTGTCCTTACAACCAACAGGAAGAAACGAATGAAGATAAAAGGAACCAACATTTATAAATAACCTAATAATTAAAGATGCGTGACAAAAATTAGAGCAGCTGATTATCACTGGCAAGGAAAATTTCACAATTGAAGACAATTTCCTGTCATGTGTAGGCCTTATTTATACTAACCTTTCAGAAGAGGCTCCAATCTGGACTGCAACCAGTCAATATTTTTCTCCAAGTAGTCCATGCAATAAACAAGGCCTAGTTGGACATGGCAGAAACGATTAGCTGTAAGGACATGTACCAGGAAGCCCTTCCTTTTGAGAAGGTATTGGATACGCCCGGCGCACCAAATATCTATTCCTTCCTTTGATGTTCAATGATTAGACCTTTTTTTTTAACTCAGAGAATTATTATGACAAGAAAAAACCAACAAATTTTATTATCAAAATGTATGGCACCAAACTACAACAAAAATTTTATAATCAAATTAAATTCAATCAGCTTTTAACCAATTACAACTTCAATTTCATAATAAAAAATGGCCAAGCAGGATCGACCTCCATTAGGACCAAGTGAATGCTCAATCATCACATCACTGAGTTTAATAAGATGCTCAATATTAATAGCACATTCATACCTAAAAATTATAGGTCAAGGAATCAAAAACAGTTAAAAAAGGGAATCGGTTCGAAGCTACAATAACAATATATATATATATATTTTTTTTGATAAGTCAAACAATATATTTTTGTAAAGAAACCATATTTAAGAATTAATAAGAAGAAGAAGAAGAAGAAGAAGAAGAAGGTATAAATCTGTATATGAAAGGATACGGCAATGAGTCATTTGCAGGATCCAAATTGATAACAGCAACTTTCCTGCAAAATGTATATATATTTTACAATTCATTATCATAACAGAATATCTACAATTACACAGTCAATGAAGTAGCCGAGGATGAAAAAGAAAATAAAAAATAATTCATATATATGTGTGTGTGTGTGTGTGTGTGTGAATGTTATAGCATGCAAAGATATGAATCATCAGAAAACCTAATCCAGAAAGAGCTGACCAAAAAACCCTAGCTTATGCACTGGTACAATCGAGACAAAACGAGGCTACAACTTTACATCACATTCTATGTATATTTATATGTGTTTCCATGTATATATATGTGTGTGATAAAGAGATTAAAGTGTTGAAGCACTGACCTTCCGATGAGTTGGAGGAACTGCGACATGCCATTGCAGTAAGTGGTCTTCCCCGAGCCCGGTGGACCGATTACAACTTGACCAAAAGTCATTATTGGTTCCCACTTCTCCGATTCCTACTTCTCAATGTTCAATTTCGAAAATCAGACAGATCAACAACAGATGAGTGCATATGGTCGGCTTAACGTAGCTCGGGAAATTGAGTACTGGAAACAAAAAAGAAAATATGATAAATTCGGCGTACTGGCTTAGTGGGCCCACAGTGGCGGGTGTCGCAATCAGTAGGACTCACGCCTAATAAGCATGGTTAAACGTATTTATAATTTTAATTTTAGAATATATTTTAAATTTTTTAACAATGTGAGATTGATGATTACATTTAAAATCATAATATTTTTAAAATTGGATCATAATTTTTGTTTATATAAAAATATAATTTATTATTATTTTTATTACCCTTTCTTCTTCTTTCTTTTTTCTTTTTTTAAGATTTGAGCCAATTAATTTTTATAAATTTAAAAATACATGAATGAGTTTTTTTTCTAATTTTTTTTTTTTTTACCCGAGTTTTTCAAGAATAATTTTTCAAAACCTGACTATCAAACAAATTTGTGTATTCCATTATTCTTGGTGACACTAGGCTCCATTCTCTTGTCGCTGGATGTGCTATGGAGAGCTAAGAGTTATATCAATGTTCTACCATGTTAATTTCCGAAAGAAAAAAAATGTTCTCCCAAGTCAGTGATGGTTGTTAAAGTCCGTGAGCATTACTATATCGACGTCGTCCATGATTGTTTTTTTTTTTTTTAACTAAAAATACAATTTAGTCAAATCTATAAATATAATACAGAAAGAGTGAAGATGCACATTTTTTTAACCACCACCTCCGCCCCCCTCTTGCCCCACCACGACCCTCCAAGACATGCATTATCTTCAACTCCCGTCCCAATGATATCTAGTTCTACATCTAACATAATGTGCATTTGAAATTCATGCATTCTTTATGGAAATTTGAACCCTTCTACTTTGGAAAGTGAGGGACGAAACTCGGCTAGCCCTTGATTATATAAACAAAGTCAGACTATCGATGACCTTAATTGTTTCACTTTAACAAGTCTGGATATCATTTTTTTCATTGACAAGAAATACACATACCCACTTTAGTCCTTTGGACCAGCCGAAAAGGGGCATTGTAAAGCTTCTTGTCATTGTAAAATGATGGAATAAGCATGGTGTATTTAAGGTAGCCAATAGAGTAACAGGTTCAACTCCTGCAATTTATTGGAAAACAATAAAAGAGCATTTTGAATAAACATCTGTATTGCCTGTAATTGAATGAAACACAGTCCCAGAAGAAAATGCAGTAATTTCTCAGTCTTTCTTGGATCAAATAAGAAGTCAAAATGGAAGGTGAAGTATACACCCAAGCTTCTGAAAGTTTCTATTTACGTTTCTTCAGCTATCCTCTTCTCTTTACTTCGATATAAACCTCAAAACTGGTAAAACTCAATTATGTATTTTTCAAGATTTACAAACCTATCCATATCTACAGTGATAGATATGTCCGTAGAAGACTGCTGCACCCTGGAGTTTATCGAAGTCCTATACATGGATATCCATTCAAAAGTTTTTGCCATCTGCACATGTGAGCAAAATATGATTTTTAGGATTGAAACTATAAACAACACTTGTATAGAGTAAGAATGGAGAATGCTATGAAAATGCAGCAGCAATCTGCTGTGCTTGTCAGATAGACCTTAAACTTGAAGGTCAGTAACAAATTTGAGACCATATGCATCAATCTTACCAAAGATGATTTTATTTTGAGATTCTACTAGGAATATCGTACACAAAATTGGAAAGCCACCAGGAATGACAAAATTCAACAAGGTATCAACTACTAGCTGGAAGAAAGAAAAGAAAACAGAAGAATATTACTTTTAAAACTGTCGTCGTGCTTTCTGCATATGAAAACAATTCTATAAAGTAAATGATTAAAACCAAATGATGGTGTGTCTGCCAACAAAATACAACGGAGCTTTATTGTGTGACCAGTTGTGCAGTATGCATCCAAAGAAGATTGCTACCAAGGAAACTTAGGAAATTAACATTGGGCAAAAACCACCTTCTTCTGCATGAAGCTATTTGTCCAAATAACTGGGCGAGCTTTAAAACTTTAATTTCATAAGGATGCATTATACATAACTTCAATTGTGATAAAAAGAAATAAATGGAGCCTTAGGCGACTTAGGCACTCGCCTAAGGCCCAACAGGATGTATTAATAGTAGGGATGGCAATTTGACCCGTCCCCACGGTTACCCGCCCTTTTTTGACGGTTTTGGGAGACCGTTTTGCTTATTTGGGCGGGGATGGTTTGATGTAATAAAAACCCGCGAGGGTTTGGTGTGGGGGCGGGGAGAGGTCGCCCCGCACTGCCCCGTCCCGTTTAGATAGGCAAATTACATAAGAACCCTTATTTCATTAGTATATATATTTACCACTATATATTAAGTACCCCAAATAACAATATTAAAGTAACAAATGAATTTGATTAAAAGGAAAGTTGCAATGGTAAAGAATTGAAGATGAAGGAAAAAAAAAAAAAAAAAAGCAAATCTATTTCAACAATAAATAAATTATGATCTTAAACGGGGTGGGGCGGGTACCCGCGGGGGTAAAAATGTTAAAACGGTTACGGGGATGGGGTGGAAAGTTTCCCTGTTTTTACGGTTTTGGGCAGGGATGGGGGCGGGATTTTTAAACGGTTGCGGGTGCGGGGAAGGGTACACCCGCCCAAACCCGCCCCCGTTGCCATCCCTAATTAATAGTAGGTCCCAAGGTTTTCTCAACTTTCCTCTCTTCACATTTTTTTTTCTTCCTCATTATAGTCTTTCCACTGTCCCACTCCATCTCCAATTTTTATTCTCTCACATCTTCTGGTATTTTTTGATTCTTCGATATTTGTTTCCTTGCAAACTCTCACTTTGTAAGCGTCTCAATGTAATACTCCAACGAATTTGAAGTTGGTATTTCATTTTCAAAGTAATATATTAAACATTAAAAGGTTTCTTTTATAATTTTCGCCCAAGGCATCAAATTATATTGAGCAGGCCCAGTGTTAGGTTGACAATAAGCCAGAACACATAACACCTGTTTGGTGTTCTTTCTGAAGACGATTCTCTATCACCAGAACTATAGAGAGCAATGTCCGAAAGTTTCAGTCAGAACTAATAAAATGAGCGGAAACACCATATCTAGAAAGTTCAATTGTTTTCAGATGTGCATGTTTCAGGAAGCAAAATCCAAAGAATTGTGCCAAACATTCCCTCAGTTTTACACCAATGAACATGAGTTCTGAAAAATCAATTGTATAACTGAACACATCCATTGGTGAGGGTTCCATTTGCTTGAGTTTTGTATCAGGAATTGCCCAAAATCTAGGAGGGGAGAGAGAGAGAGAGAGTTGTTTTCAGGAAGCAAGAGATTTTGAGAGAGAAAGATAGAGGCTCTCTGGTCAAACTTCTTGAACCCCATTACCACAGATAGTAGGCACCATTAATGCAAGTAAAAAAGAATAATATATATAAAAACGATGATTGGGAGAAGACTTTACCAGGCACGAAGAGCTCTGCATTTCAATGCTTTCATTGCTGCTTCAGCTAAAGCCTGTGCTGCTTCTGCATCAGCTTCTGCCGCCTCTGCCTCCCTTGCTGCCTCTGCAGCCTCCGCAATGGCAGCTTCTGCCTCTGCAACTGCTCGGGCAGCAGCAGCTGCAGCCTCTCGTGCAGTCATGCTCCTCATCTTTTCTAGCTCTGCATCAATCTGGGATTTAGTAAGAATTTTGATGTCATTCTTCTTTACTTCTGGAGAATTCTTCTGCTTTCCCTCTAGGATCAACAGGGAAGAGTCTCTTACTACAACAGAAGATGTTGAAGTTGGTGCCATCCTGTACCGATGCTTTACCTGTCAATGAAAATGCCATAATTATGATCTAAAGCAAGAAACAACCCGATCTTGCTCAACTTTCTTTAATATGAACTTTCTCCACTTTTGTACTCATCATTCTTTACTTGATTATGTTCATATACACATTAATACAGACATATTTCAGAAACAAAAAAAAGTGTACATGCCATCCATCCAAACAAATTATGCTGATTGCTTACTCAATCAGAATATTTTTTCCTTTTTTGTCATAAACCATAAACCTCCATTCTTACTAGGTTAATTGGGAAAGCCTTAAGAACTGCTTGCTGAAGGCCTACAAACCAAGAGGTTTAAAATTGATTGCTCACACCCTGCATAATCTGTGGACGTTTGGTTGTGATGAAAGGAGACGGACCCAACCTTTAGTTTTATTTTACACAAAATGTCTACTCTCAGACTCTGAACTGTGATCTCAAGCTTGTCAGTTGGACCTAACCTTTGCTTCTGTCACAAAAAAATTTATTGTGACATAAGCAGGACCCTCTAAGCAGGACCCTCTAAGCAGTGGTCAGTGCACTATTGCAGAGAACTGAAATAAGCTTTATAATAAAAGGAAAAAAATGACTAAGAGAAACAAATCATAATTGTGGAAGTGATCAAATATTTACCAAAAACCATTGTACATAGAGATCAGAACAAAAATAAACTCAACAATTCACCAAAATTAATCGGACCCAACCTTTGGTTTTATTTTACACAAAAAGGACTACTCTGAGACTCAACAATGTGACCTCACGCTTGTCAGGACCCTCTGAGCAGTGGTCATTGCACAGGAACTGAAATAAGCTTTTTAATAAAGGGGGAAAATAAAGACTAGGAGAAACAAATCATAATTGTGAAGGTGATCAAATAATTACAGCAAACCATTGTACATAAAGATCAGAGTAAAACTAAACTCTACAGTTCACAAAATTAACGGATTTTATGACTACTCTAAAAATCCATTAGCGACTAAAGATGCAAAGTGATCAAGTCATTTGGCAACAGAAGAAGAGATAATCAAAGATATAACCATCTACCAACAATTGGAATAAATCAATATGAACCTTACATCATATATCGAGTACTAACTACTAACGCAACATGGAAACTCCACAAAAAACCCAAATAAATTCTTCGAAACATTCTTACTTATCAAAAAAAAATTCTTTGAAATAAGATATAACTTGTTGATCAGTCCATTAAACCCTCAATACAAGATGGAAAGAAGTGGAATAAAGGAAATATTCTTTTGAAGATCAAGAAACTCATAATCAAGTACAGTTTATACCGAGTCACTGGAAAGCAAAAACGAAACCCATACCCATTAATTTGAAAAACCAAAAATAAAATTTAAGCTCTTATCAAAAGTGACGACAGCAGAAAGGAATAGGTTGTTTGGCAGTCACATGTCATCAACATCAACAGGGAAAATAAGACTACCTCAGGTGCCTGGACAAATTTGACAGAATTGGCATTGTTAGGGAATTAAAAGAGTAGTGATATTGAGCACAGATGAGAAGGTGACATAAGTTTGTAAAGGTTATTCCAGGAGCCAGCCTTAAGAATTCCTTTAATAGAAATCAACAAACCTAAACAATTTGAACAAGGAAAGAAAATGAATAAACTTATTTTCACAAAGACAAAACGTAAAAATGAACTGGATGATTTAATTCCAATCAAGTGAAGATGTGAGATGGACAATATACAGTTATTCAAAGTTGTACGACATAAAATACAGGTAAATGCAAAGAATCATGTCTTAACCAAAAAAATTCCACTGGACAACAAAGTCCCGTCATCCCGCAAGGCGCAGATCGACTTCATAAGAGAAGGATCAGTACCATCCACCAGGCTCTCATGTTAATCTGACCAAGGGAAAAGTTAACAAATCTGTTCCTGTTCAACCTCATCCTAGTCATCAAGATCGTATATTTTATGTTACATGTAATTATAAAATTGCAATATTAATATTCTTTAACAACAAGAAGTCAAATTACAAATCCTTAACGCGCTGATTTTTCATAAAACATCTCATAATTTCTAATTCTGACCCAATAAAAAGTTAAAGAAGTAAAACAAGAAAAGTAAATTGGATAATGGAGAGGGGAGAGAGAGAGTAATTAGGCCGAATTTTGAATTGGGAAGTAAAACGCCCCACTTGCAGATCAGGCACGCAACGCATCACTCTCCAAATAGAGCATTGAATTTCCCATTATACTCATCTCATGTAGAAATCCACTACTCTCAAATTCAAATAAATTGTAAGAGCATGTAATCGGCCAAGATAAGATGCATATTCATGACATGAAATTTGATTTAAATATTTCCATAAACCACAGTCCTCGAAGTTACTTCCAATTTTCAGTCAACAAGGAACAGAGACTTCGATACAATATGCTCATGAAATTTTAATAGTTCTGCCAGATGCAGGAAGGGTGGGGGGTGCTTTGATATCAAAATTGACTAAGAATGAGAGAGGAGATGAGAAGAAGATAGAAGAATGAGGGAGAACTAATCTCCTTCTACGATATTCAATAATCATAAAAAGGTACCTTCACAATGTTATCAACCCACATATTTATAAGCATCTAGGAAAACCCTAATCAAATCTTATTACCAAAAATAAAACCCTAAATTACTAAATATCCTAAAATTAAAGCATTACTATAATAATAATAATAAATGGACAAAAATCCCTAATTCTATAGTTCTTTTCCATGTCTCCAATAGTAAAGGCGAAACACGTGCACTTCAAGCTCTTGGTCCATATCTGGTTCTCCATCACTGCCAAGATGCTGCCTATAGATGTTCCCTTTCAAAAGCATCACCAGGCTTTTCTTTTCTTTTTTTCTTTTTCTTTTTCTTTTTGTTGACGGCCCATCAGTTTCAACAAATGTTAAAATTAATGTTTTGCTAACATTAGTTGAATATGCACGGCAGAAAAATTACCTTTGTCAATTTGCCATTTTCTGTCAGAATCTTTAGGTTTGTCGTCAATAGCCTTTCCAGGTTTGGAGGTGCCAAGTATTGCTCCTGTAAAATCAAAATAAAAAATGTCAAAACAACTTGAAACAAAATGAAGTTGGAACATAACAAATCCATCAAGTGGTTGTGTCTATATAAATCTTGCACATTACACTAAAAATGAATTCACATTAGTATCCTCAACTTTGTGGTGATTCCATGGTGTTTATGACAAAATTAACAAAATGTTAATAGTTGCAAGGTTTTGAAGAATTAAAAACAAATGTAAGAAATGGTGAAAACTTGATGACCAACAGATTCCCGAGAGCTGGGTCTGCAAATGAACTGAGGCGAGCTGAGTTGTTTGAGCCTGCTTGGTCATCAGAAGACAGGAGTTCAAAATCGGCTTGTTTTGGATGAGCTTGGACTAGCAAATTAAGACTTGGCTTGTGCAAAAACAATCAAGCTCGGGACTGGCTCAAATTGGCTCACATACAAAAATCAAGCCAAATTAGTCCATATATCTCTCTGTTCTAGTGTGAACAAATCTGATCTCAAAGTTGATGTAATTCAATGGGAAACCAAAAGCAAGAAACCCATCAACTTAAGATCTGTTTAGATGTAAGAGGGCTCCTTCAGATTTCATCAGATCTGTTTAAATGAGATTTAAAAACCCACAAATAGAGGTAAAAGGAAGGCCAAAGAAGAAGAAAATGAGGAATAGGAAACGAGAGAAGAGATCTCAAGGGGAGCAAGTGCTTCACATTTATCCAAAAATGAGATTATCAGCCACTTAGAGATCCCATGACTTGATACTTAAGAAATAAATAATAATACAAAAGTATAGGTCAAAACCAAGAGAAGGAGATGAAGGTTGCTGTTGGAACTTAAATCAATCAATATCTTAGACCATCATCATCAGCACCTATAGCAACAAAGAACGAGGACTGTAAACGTTTTCAATGTTAGGTGCTCACAATTAGAGTAAGTCCAAAATTTGACAAGTAAACTAAGTGATGCTTGATTATATTAAAGTTTATGCAAGATTGAGCAGTGTTGGTCTTTCATTTGTCCAAATCAAGTATGTTTTTTCATTGATTTTCCTTGATATAAAAGCCAGTAATGCATAACAACATGGCAAGGCTCACAATATGAAGTATATCATACTATTTCTCAAAGTTCCCATGCCCCACAATACACAACTATTCATGAGTTAGGCTCAAAAAGAATGTTCAAACTTGGTTTATTTAACTAATGAATCAGCCCAAGCTATTTATCAATAGTTCTGTTCATTTGCAACATTATTAAAGATGACCATTTCTACTGTCTTAGATCAATTACATACACAGTTATTAAAGGCTCAAGTCGCGAAGGTTCCAAGGGTTGGGGACCATTCACCCATTAAAGCGGTATTTCCTAGAGCCCAAAGGCGCGAGCCTAATCGAACCAATGCGTGTGTAAAAAAAATGAATATTATATATAAGTATAGAAAGGAAAATCAAAGTATGCAACAGAAACTAGTCAAAATCAAAATAGAAAGAAAGGAAAAAATATATAAAAACAAAAAAACGAAAAGAAAAAAAACAGTATATCTGTTCAATGGATTAGCTATCAATATACATATATCTTTTTAGTTTGCATATGAATTCAATTAAATCAATATACATTCTGGACAATTCAAGATATGCAATACAGCTACTTAAAACGTTTTTTTAAAAATGGAATTTTTGACTTGTAAACTTAGAAAATCAAATAAATCAAAGTACATAAATCCTTTCGATATGTATATACTTTAACAAAATGAAATACTAATAAAATTGTGCAACAACACAAGGAAAGAATGACGTAAAATTTTAAACATATTACATTGACGTAAAAAAATCAGAATCAAGCACTAGATGTAATTCATGTTAGTAGTCAACCATAAGTTTGTGAATTCCACCAAATATATAAATAAAATAAACAACACGGTCCATTGATGTGACAATTATGTGATGTAGGTGTAAATTCATGGTCATTAAACAAATGCATAAACATTAAAAAATGAAAGGCATGCCTTCTTTAAGCGTGGACCTGCAAAAAAGCATGAGTGTGAGAGCTTTATGTGAGCCTGCCAGGAAGAGTCTGCTTGTAGTATGTTAAGATGTTCTGGCCTTGACGAACCTAGAGCTATTGGGAGCTTAAGCCCTAAGTGCGCCTTTAACAACTATGATTATTCATTAGAGAATATTGATGTGGACAACCATAAAATCAAAGAAGTAAAATGGAAAAGTCTTAATAAAGAGTACTACTTGATAGAAGAATACGTTATATGGAAAAGTTTTATAAAACAATCGGCCAGATGATAAATGTGCTGGGTAATTGAGAGACAACATTTTCAGACTCAGACTGAAATGAGAACTTGAGATGCACAATAGCCATATAGAAAATATAAATGAATAACTATGTGGTGAAGTTAATTTGCAGTTTACAAATGTTAAATATAGACCAATGAGTTCAACAGCACGATGAAATAATTTGATCGAAGTTAAAAATGTACAAAACGAAGGACAAATGGAACGTGAGTTGAGGCTGTGGAAAGGATAAGGCTCCACGTAGAGCAGACAGGAGAAAACGGTGAAGGTACCCTACCCCATGTAGTTGAGGACGCTGAGGCCTGTTAAGTGATGGCTAATCCCAGCTAGTTGAAAATGGTTCAAAACAGGATCTGAATCATAGTTCAAATTAAAGTTGGTTCACTTAGGGCAACCTAAAAGTCACCGCATGGGTCATTCTTTTCCTTCAGTTAGTCCCTTAATGAAATTGCAGTTCAATCCTTCCATAAAACAGATTTTGCAGGCATATCATTAATATCCAATGTTATTTGTCATTAAATGACACTGCAGTTCAACCCTCCCATAAATGAGGCATATTTATAATTTCTGGCATTATGATTTCAACAAACAATAAAAGCATTTGAATGGAAGCTGCTTTAATTTCACCAAGGTTGTCACTTGCAATATTTCATATTTTCCATAAATATATATCCACAAGAATTATAAGTGTTGGAACACCCCGGGTCCAACCCAAAAAAAAACAGGAACCCAGCAGTTCTACTCTATTTGTATTTGATTCTGCAAACAATATAGAGTTCTGTAATCGTAACTTTAAGACCCAGAGCCCAGAGTAAATACCTCTATGTACATGGCAATTGCAGTCCGGTTAGAACCAAGACGGTCCTTCAAATCGGTAATGGCCTCCAATATAAGATTGTCCAAACTACATTCATCAAACACAAGTTCCAATAGATCATGTCAACAAATACACAAAAACAAAATTGCATGGTTCCAAATTCATTGTGTCAATAACATGTATGAATTCACACCTCTCCTTGAAGGATAAGGTATAGCTTTTTTCTTGAACAGGGAATAAAATCCAAGTCATGACACACTAGTTCAAAACTTGTTACTTTTCCTATATACAATCAGCTCAGTACCACTTCCACCTTCAACATATTGGCGTCATTGGCAACACATCCTGATCAGCAATTAGCTCTGAGACAATTCTGTGATAATAGTTTGTGCTCCTACCTTTCTAACTAAAAAGGCATTTCAAATAGGTGACATGAGAAGAACTATTTCAAAAGGCAATTCTGTCATCAATTAGTGACATGAGAAGAACATATTTTCCCATCACACTTGACTGTTTATGTTTAAGCTTAGAAACTCCAGAGGCCCTACAAAGGATACATTCTGGTCGGATGATATTGATGAGTTTAGAAAGGCTATATGGCATTAATTATTACATTTAATCTGGCTCAGTTACTACATTTCCAGGAGTAACTTCTTTCAATTGTGTTATTAAATGAGCAAAAAAGTTAAGAAGAACATCTAGATGGCATATACTGAATCACAACAGAGTAGTGGAGCTAAAAGGTCCACCCCCTCCCAAAGAAAAATAAAGAAAGGAAAAGAAAATCACCAAAGCGAAGTTTTATACTGAAGCCTCAAACATCTAAGTATTACAACACTGCAACTGGATGCAACTCCCTCTGCACTACTATCGGCCACATTTTAATGAGTGTCCATGCAAAGATAATTTACTACGTAAATATCACATTGTTCACATTCAAGTGTCATAGATACCACCACAATAATGAGATGGACATGATGCAATTACTTTTCAGTCACAGAACTGTATTTGCAAGACATGTGTACAAGACTAGAGTTGCTTAAAGATGTATGAATACTCGAGATCCACCACAATCCTAGAACTAACTGGTTGTTGGGTAAGCTGATCTATCGCTTTTCTTCATGGTCCAAGCCAATTTAAGAACAAGGACAACTCATGTATGCCACCAGCAGGAATCAAAGTTTAAGAAGGGAAATACCAAAAGTTGAGAAGTAAATATAACCTTGAGATTGGTTTCTTAGAACCAGCAATTTGTAATGTCTCACTACAGATTGCAAGAGGCTTAGCATCAACAATTTCTAAATCACTCTGAATTACAGTGCTAAGAGCCATAGGGTCATCATCATGCTTGGAAGTCTGCTGATTGTTCTTAAATGCATGCCTAGCCTTATGCCGGGACCCCCATCCACTTGCCGCTACATTCATATTTCTCCATTTATCCTGTCCAGGTAAGAATTATACCCATTAATACGCCTTTTTCCAGTCAGGTAAAAGCACGCATCAATACAGCATATCTGGCCTGAAAAACTTACAAACATTCAAACTAAAGAAACCAGTAACCTTCCTTTCAATAATAAAACATGCATGCTAAAGGTTTGACATCTCATACCTTAAGGTCCACATTTGAACGCAAATGCAATATGGCACTAAATTCCGGGTCTTTAAGTATTGTGCTCCATTTGCCTGCCCCATACTTAGCCACTCCAGCTTTGAGGGCAGCTTCTTCTTCTGATGTCCACTTCTGCTTTGGAGCACCCATCAACAGAAGCCCCAAAATCTTCCTAGAAAAAGAAAGAAGGAACAGTTAAATCTTGTCCTCTATCAGCATATGTGCAAAATAAGAATAAAACACCAAAGCTATGATTAGTCTATCGTCATTGTGCAAAAGAAAATTGGCTCCTCTGTATAGTTGAATACCCAGAGTAAGATTTTATCGCAAACTCCTCAGTTTACCTATGGCTACAGGTTACAGGTATATCTCACTAGTACTGCACAATTCAGTTGATGTTGAAGTTCTAAGCTATACATATGAATTTTTTTAAGCTCTTGCCAATATCAGCTCTGAGCCTTTAATTGTTAAGTTTATGTTTATACTCAACTCAACTCTTTGGAACGGGTAACTTCAATTAGACTACATAAGACCAACTCTTTTCCTAACTGTCTCTTGCTAACTAGACCTAAATTAGTTTGGGTCTTTCTATTCCTCTATCTTACAGTCAATATGGATCAAGTCACTTCTTTCATTGATCCAAGTGCAATTTTAATTGCAAATGGCCAAACATCTTAATCGGTTCCATTTTATAGTATTTCAATTGAGTAAAACTTCCACTATATTCGTTTTAATTTTAATTCTTTTGTCTAAAGCATGGCTAGCTCAACATCCACATTGGCCACACTCATCTACTTAGTCCGTCCTATTTTTATTTTTTTTGATAAATAGTCCGTCCTATTTTAGAGTAACATCAATTTAAAACTCTCCCTCCTTGTAAATAATTGAATCTAGTCAAAGAAACTTTTCGCCCTTTTTGGGTAATTTGTGAAATATGTGTGTGAATACTTACCTAACCCCCCAAAAAAAAAATTAAATAAATAAATAATTTTGCTTTTTGGTATCCCTTAACCCTTCATCTTCAATATCTCCCGATTTGTATTCCTAATTTAGCATGTGTTTCTACCAAAATAATGCCATTAACTAGCATATGTCATGGAATCTCACCTGAATGTGTCTAGTCACTTAATATATTACTAAAACCATAAGTAAGGGGTCTGATGAAAGCCTATACTAATTGCAAATTCACTTGTTTCTCCCACATTTGTTCTTAATAAGGTTATAGCTACATCAAACATAGTTTTTGTCACACTAACATCCACGTATTTGTCTGTGACATTTCTTTTCTAACACTCACCATATCATATCTTTAAGTATCATACGATAAATTTTTTCAAAATATATAAAACTATATAAAGATCCTTTTCTTCTCTCTTCATGGTTCCATTCATCTTCTTAATCTCTTCACGTTTATAGCTTTGTTGTTGACCTCCCAACTAAAATCCAAATTGAATTTCTACCTCGAATACCCTTCTCCTACGAGGGAAAATAAACATTTTTCTTAACTTTTTAAGGCTAAACCTAAGCTTTTGCCATAAATTTCAATTAAAAATTACTCAAAATAACTTCCAGCCTATATTTCTTCTTTTTTTTTCTTTTTTTTTTTTTTATCCTAACTTTCAATTTTTCTTTCTTTAGTTTCATCATCTTTTACCAAGACCCTAATGCTTAGTTTGGTAGGAAGGATGGAAGAAGGGAGGAGAGGAAGTTTAGAGCGTGTCTCCATTGTTTGATACATGAGAGTTGGAGATAAGGGAAGGATGGGTGGATGAGGCATCAATCCTAGCCCACCATTTTTTATCCATCCAAAATTGAACGGACTAGAGGAGGAAAAGAAGGATAATTGTAGTAGGTACCATAGAGTGGCGTTGTTACCATTCAGTGTTTAACATGACTTGTGTATTAAGTTGAATAATGAGGGTGTAATGGTAAAAAGATATAAAACCTTTCATTTTCTTTCCTCATACCAAACAACAAAATATGTCAACTCCTTCTCTTCCCTTTCGCTCAACCAAATAAAATGAGAGAACATTTCATTTCCCTAGGGATGCCTCATCCATCCTTCTTACCATCCCTTTCTTCCATTTATCTGTCCTTCCTTCCAAACAAAGCATAAGAGTCAAAGCATAAGAGTCTTATCCTTTATGCATTTAATTAAATGAAAAATATTTGTTTATCTTCTCATATAGTTGCCAAAAAAAAAAGACAAAAAATACTCATGCTTTATGCTAAATGTCAACTTTTTTTCAATAATTAACTGTTCTTTTAACCTCATTCTTTACATGTTTGTATCTATCAAGCATTTGATTTGTTTTCTATTTTTACCAAATTTTATCACACTGTGTGTTTTAATTACTTTTGTACTTCTCACTTCACCACTAAGTTTTCATAAGTAATCATCATTTTCCTTTAGATTCTTCGTGATATATATATATATATATATATATATATATATATATATATATATATTTAATTCTTCTTAGCACATCCACTCAATGTTACATCATCTAATTCCATTTTCCTTCCATCCATGTCTTACTCTTAAAGAATTCTACTTCCACGCTTCTAAATTCCTCCATCTAGTTCTTAGGTTTATAAAAACTTTTTCTCTTTCTTATTATTCTTTAACACAAACATTCACAATCATCAGCCATTAGCCTACATTACAAGATCAATCTCTGAAATTTATGTTTATAATTGACAAATTATTCAGATGTTTTTACATCGGCAAAGCAAATGGCAACGAAATATTCAATTTAGTAAAAAATCATATGTAATGGAAAGATAAAATCAAATACAGTGCATACCATGCAATTTCAATGAGAGTCAAAACAACATTAATACATGAGAACTTATGATCATCACAATTATCATCTTTGCGTAGAACAAGACAGAGTGTGTGCGTTTGTATATAGACATGTGAATATGTATATACCACGGGAAGGTTCGCAGACGGTGAGAAGTAGGAAGTTCAAGAGCAGATCAGTGGCAAGTCGGCTTCATGATTCACTATCCCATTATTCGCACAAACAAATTGAACGATTAAAAACCCTAGAAGCGAGTGTGGAGTTTATGGAAAAACCTCTCTTTTCTCTCAGTTTTTCCTTCTTTGTTTTTTTTTTTTCGTTTTTTTCGTTTTCTTTTTTCTTTTCTTTTTTTTTTCCTTTTCTTTTTCTCTCGCTCGTAACTTGTTTTTTTTCTTCTTCCCATTTTATTCAAAAACAGCGATAAGCAGCCAACATATTGACTTAAAAATTCTAAAATATAACTGAAGATGCAAGAAATTCATACTCTCTTTCTCTCTCTAAAATTCTTACATTTCAACAAAAAGATCCCCCATTCTTTCCATTTCTTCCCTTATTTATAGATATTTACAAGATATTTACAAATATTGACGGATTGCTGGATCTGGGCCTGTTCCTCCATAAGTCCTGGTCACCTTTGATGGGCTTATTCGCGTTCGGCCCATATGACAGTGTCTTTTTATGGGCCGACCCAGCTGTACGGACCGGATGTCGTGCTTGCAAGTCAGATCCGGCCCATGTCGTCCTGGGCCTCCTCAACTGCCCCCATAATTGCCCCTTATTTAATAAGGGGGTAATTATTGATGGCGTCTCATCATGACGTTGACGGCTCGAGAAAACCACGTGGGGGAACGGACGGTCAGATCCAGAATCAATGTTCCGGGGCTCGATGAATTTCTCGCCTTCCTGACGCTTCGGCCCTCGGGCCCCCCTCGCCTTTATAAGGCTCTAGAATACCACTTCACGTCTTTTTACCGTCTCCATCATCAGTCAAATCTCTCTCTTTCTAGAACAGTGCTAAGCTTTTTCTGGTGAAATCCTTCAAGAGTCATTCTTCCAGCGATCTTGCAGTCCTCTGAGGTTAGTTTTGTTCCTTTTTACTTTCGGCAGGCTTCTATTTACCCCCTTTTAGATCCTTCAAGCACTTCCACCATGGTTGTAGATCTGGATGTTCTTCGTATGAGACTTAGACTTCCTGACAACATCGAAGTTAGGGTTTGCCCTCAGGACGTTAACATTATGACCGGTGCCGGCCTCCTGCCCGGCGAAGTCTTATTCACGAACCTTCAATTGAATGTCGTTAGGTTCCCTCTGCACCCTTTCTTTAGTTATGTCTTCAATAGATTGGGGATATCCCCCCTGCAGGTAAACCCTAATTTCTTTAGAATCATATCCGTTATGCTCCTGTTGATGCGTGACAGAAATCTGAACCTTGACCTCATAGACCTTCTTCTGTGTTATAAGGTCAGTAAGATCCGTACTAACGAACCCTTCTACCACCTCTACCCGTTCGAGAAGATGTCCATATGTACGGACACAATAAAATCTGAAAAGGGTTGGAGGGATAGCATCGTGGGCATTAGTGGGGCTTGGTCTTCGCCGGCTGCAGAGGGTTACCCAATCCCGAGCGCCTTTGGTGTCTGTTCTGTTTCCTCCTATAAGAAATTCAAATCTCATAAACATGATTGCCCCTGCGAAACATGCGTTCCCCGTTTTTGTACTTTCTTATGCCGTTCCTTAGGAATACCTTGTGATGACTTGAGCTACAGTGTTTGCAGGGATAGGAGTAATTACTTGAAGAAATACGTTCTGAACGATATTCCTTCCTGCTCAGATCTCCTCACTTCAGACAACCTCTTAGCGCTCTCATCACTCGGCTACAACATGAGCAGGCTTCAGATTCCTTCTTTTGGCAGGAAGAAAAATACTCCCCCAGCCACTCCTGCTGCTGGGGCGACCTCCTCTCCAGCATCAGCCTCTTCCTCAGCCACCATCTCTGACACTATCCCGAGCACAGTGGCTATTAACTCCATTGTCAGCACCCCTGCTGCCAACCCGAGCGCGTCTCCCCAAACTACCACAGCTCCTGCTGCCGCGGGGGGCGTTCGGGACAAAGAACGAGGCAAAAGGCCTCATCCTGACAGTGAAGTCGATCCTGAGGAGGAACCTCTCATAAGAAGGACCCGGGTCTCCGGGCCGGGTGCTCTCTTGCATCGTGCGATCAGAGCTCCTGCTCCCTCTGGGCCTACTGCAGCTGGTGGCTCCGCTTCTGCTTCAGGCCCCCCTTCTATCCCCACCTTACCGCCATGGGCCCCTCGGTACACCCGAACGGATGGGACGTTCGTGAAACCGAACGAGACCATGCTGAAGGATGGCCAGACCGCCATGGCGTACTATAGGAGCATGTGGACTCCGAAAGACCTTGAGGCGGCAAAGGGCCTATCCCAGAAGGATGTGTTCAGCCGCTTTCCCCAATCTGCTATGGAGGTGACTTTTATTTTCCAACTCATGAATTCTCTCATATTATTTGGTCTTGCCTTCGCCCGACCTGACTATTGGCTTAACCGTTCTTAATGTACACCTATGCAGACATTGTTCGGAATGATGGCTATGCAGAAGCAGGTGGAGATGGGGAACGCCAAGGCTCGTAAGTTTTCTGATAGCCTGGAGGTGGCTAATAAAGAAAACGACCTTCTCGCCATCAAGAATACCGAGGTACTGGCTCGGCTTGAAAAAACTGAACAAGAGAGAGATGTCCTGAAGAAAGAGAATGACTCTCTTCAGGATGAGAAGGATGCCCTCCAGCTTGAAAAGAGCGTCTGGCAGACTGAGCGTGACTCAATCAGAGACGAAAAGGCAGAACTCCAGCGCCTTCTGGCTGATGAACAGTCTGCTCGGATGGCTTTTGAGAAGAGAGCTCTGGACGAGCGTACCGCTCTGATCGATGCGATCAGCAGAGTGAGCGGTGGGATGCTGGCTCTTCACGCTCGGTTCTCAAGGGTCGGTGCTCTTAGATATGCTCAAGGATTCCGGGAAGGTTTCGCCGACCGAGTTCCGGATGAGGGACAGACCAGTTCCACTCCAGATGAGGTCGACAAGGATTTAGGGATCGAACCTCTGGGGGTCTATGTCGACCCAGAACCCACCGAAGCGGAGCGCATATTCGATGAGTGCCAGGACATTGCTTCCTCAAGGATCATCACAGCTCCTCCTACCGCTCTGCCTCTGACCGCTCCTCAATCGTCAACTGTGGTACCTTCCATAGCCACTGCTGACGCTGAGCCCCAGCCGAACGATTCAGTCATTCATCTTGATTCCCCACCTCGTGAAGGTGAGACGGCTGATGGGGCCGAGGAGGCGGGTCGGCACAACAAGAATGCTGTTGGTACTGAGGCGTCTAGCTAGGGCTCCTTCGGACTCTTCGATTCCATATCTTTTTGTAACGATGGACATCTCACTTTTTGTAAACTCAATGCTTAATATCAATGAAATGACAGAACTCTTTTTCCCTTTGTGTTGTGCTCTGTTCAACCTATTTTCAATACATATATATCTTTTCTCTCTTTTCTTTTATATTAGCTTTGCCGTGTGTTTGTTTATGGCAAGTGCCTGGCGCTCGGCTAGAATGCCACTTGCCACTTGGCTTTAAATTTTTAGCAAGTGTCTGGCGTTCGGCTTATGGTGCCAGCTGCCACTTATCTTGCTTAAGTGCCTGGCGCTCGGCTAGAATGCCACTTGCCACTTGGCTTTAAATTTTTAGCAAGTGTCTGGCGTTCGGCTTATGGTGCCAGCTGCCACTTATCTTGCTTAAGTGCCTGGCGCTCGGCTAGAATGCTACTTGCCACTTGGCTTTAAATTTTTAGCAAGTGTCTGGCGTTCGGCTTATGGTGCCAGCTGCCACTTATCTTGCTTAAGTGCCTGGCGCTCGGCTAGAATGCCACTTGCCACTTGGCTTTTCATTTTTTAGTAGGCCGTTGGAAAAGAAAGTTATTTTTTTGTAAATTTCAGTAACTTGCACATTCATACGTATTTGATTGACAACAAACAACATCCAATTAAAGCCGCTACTTAGCTTTTATTGGTAGTACCTCTTCAGAGACGTGGCGTTCCAGGGCTTGCTGACCAACCTTCCCGCCATGGTTTCCAACGTATATGCTCCCTTGCCTATGACTTCTGTAATTCTGTATGGGCCTTCCCAGGGTGGCATCATTTTTTTGACCATCCCCACCTTTCTTTTCAGAACCAGATCGCCAGGGGCAAAATTCCTGTGTTTTACTCTTTTGTTGTGACTATTCGCCAATACTTGCTGATACGATGCTAACCTTATAGCCGCTGTGTCCCTCCTTTCGTCTATCATATCGAGGTTCAATCTTAACATCTTGTCGTTCTGATCTCGACTCCATGCTAAGCTTCTGATAGTGGGGACCAAATGCTCAACCGGTATAACTGCCTCGGTACCATATGCCATTGCAAACGGGCTCTCCCCAGTCGGCCGCCTTGGGGTGGTTCTGTAAGCCCATAGAACGTTCGGGAGCTCATCCAACCACTTCCCTTTATGGTCTTCCAGCTTCTTCTTAATGCAGGCGAAAATGGTTCTGTTTGTGATTTCTGCTTGTCCGTTGGCCTGAGGATGACTTACTGCAGCCAACTTCTGGTTGATTCCATACTCCTCCAGCAGCTCTCTTACTTGCCTGCTGTCGAGGTTTGTGCCATTGTCCATGACTATTGATCTGGGAACGCCGAAACGGCAGATAATATTGTTCCAAATAAATCGTCTCACATGAGTCTGAGTCACGCTAGGATATGGTTCTGCTTCCACCCATTTAGTGAAGTAATCCGTGGCCAGTAACACATACTTGTTCTGAGCTCTTGCAGTTAGCAGAGGACCGACCACATCCATCCCCCATTGCGCGAAAGGCCATGGCGAGGCCATTACGTGCAATTCCTCAGGTGGTTGGTGGATCAATGGTCCATATCGTTGGCATTTATCGCACCTTCGAGAGAACTCCTCCGCATCTCTTGACATGTTTGGCCAGAAATACCCTTGTGTCATTGCTTTATGCGCTAACGATCGCCCCCCAGAATGATTGCCACACACACCCTCATGAATAGCTCGCAATACCTGCTGCGACTTCGCGGGGGTGACACACTTCAAGTATGGGCCAGAGTAGGACCTTCTGTACAGCTGGTTACGCACGATGGCGTACTTTGCAGCATTCTTTTTGAGTCTCCTAGCTTCATCCCTCTGCATAGGCAAAACGCCATCTCGAATATAGGTAATGATGGGGTCAATCCAACTCGGTTCATACGGTATGACGTTGACTTGCCAAGGGTCAGAGTCCAAGGGTTCTTCGAAAATAGATGGCTGGGTCAGTATTCCTACTGGAATCACCCTCGCCAATGTTTCACCGGAACTCGAAGCACTACATGCTAACCGGTCCGCATCTGCATTCTGTTCCCTCGGTAACTGTA